AGACGGGGTACGATGAGAAGAAGAGGTTGAAGGAGGCGATAGCCAAGGTGCAGAAGGCGATCAGCGCCGGACAGTCGGAGCCTCCCGCACCCTTCCGTGACCCGTTCGTCTACGTTAGTGACGAAAGGGTGAGGACGGTTCTTGACGGTCGTCAACCCGAACCATTGAACGTGGACATCGAGGGACTCCAAACGGTGCATCATGCTGCGCCGGGTCCTGGTCCCAAGCAGGAGCCGGTTCCCAAGGGCGGAAAAGGGAAAGGGAAGAAAGGGGAAAAGGGCGGAAAGGGCGGTAGTCCTTCCGGCCCACCACCAAAATCAGGTGAAGTGCCAGGAAAAGGATCTGGTAAGGGCGGTAGCCCATCTGTCCCAAAGGCGAAGGATGATGCTGGACCTGCTCCGATGGAGGTTGATACAGCAGCAGCTCAGCCGAAGAAGTCTTGGGCCGAGATGGTGGTCGAAGGGGCCAGGCCGAGTGCCAAGGCTAAAATGACCCCGATTCCTAAGGCCGAGCCGAGAGGGAAGGCTGCTTCAGCATCTGAGGCGAAGGGTGCTCCGGCTCCAAAAGCTGTGGCTAAGGAGACGAAGCAGGCCGAACCGAAGGTTGAGGTCAAGAAGGAGAAGACAGGCGGAGGTGACGCTCCCGGCGGTAGCCGCGGGTCGGCCGAAGGACAGAAGAGAGAAAGGAAATCCCGTTGGGATCCCGACGAGGCTGCGAAGGAGTCGACAAAGCGGGAGGCATCCACGAGGCCTGGCGACGTCGACAGCAGACCAGGTGCGGCAGCGAGAGAAGCTAGCGGGGATGATCTTCACTCCGCGCTTGGCAGATCTTCGGCAAAGGATGCGGTAGCGCCTTTGACGGCCTCCAAGGCGATGGCAAAGAAGCCTGAAGGCGGGGAGATCCGGCTGCAGTCTGCTGAGCGGGCTGCGGCGAGCCCGGTGGAGGGTCACTTCCTGGTGCTGCCTGAGAGTTCGGTGGTGGACGCTTTCTTGTCGATCTCCACAAATAGAGTGCTGAACAAGCAGGTCAGGGATATTTCATCAGGAATGGTGAGGACGCGTCGGCACTGGAGGCTCTCAACCAGATCGTGACGAACTCTCGATCTGGGAGGAGGCATAGGGAATCGGATGTTTCCCGTACTCCTTCTCGGAGGTCCGTTAGGACCGTGGACACCAGGGATTCCAGAGAGTCGAGGAGGCGCAGATACCGTCCGCGGCGCGAGGATGATCGCGACAGGAGGAGGGACGATGCTCGTGATCGTCGTGATGATGATTCACTCGATCGGGAGCGAGATCGAAGGCGAGATGATCGCAGGAGATCCGAAAGGGATCGTGATAGGGACCGTGCGCGGGGCGGGCGTGACCGGAGGAGACGTGACGATAGCCGGTAGGCTGAGTCACGGGGATTGCGGCCGATAGGCTTGCGTCCATTCTCCAATGGTCGGCGCGGTGTGGAGGTGGTGTTGTTCCTCCCGGACCGCTGAGGCGCGGAGGTCATGTCTCTCCCGTACCGCTGCTGAGCTGCTGGGCGTGCTCATCCGGAAGCAGTATGAGTGAGAGGGAAAGCAAACTGATGGGGGGTTACTCCCGGGTTTGCGGAATTCAGGCATTTTTCAGGTACGCATGGTCAGGGGTACCTCTTGCCGTTAGGCGAGGGTACTAATGGACATACGTTATCTTTTATTTCATGGCTTCTGATAAGAATTAAACTTCTTGCATTGTTGATGCAAACAGTTGTGACCTAATGTCGTCATGTGGACTTTTCCACAAGGTTTGTTGGACAGCGTTACCCCGATTAATTCGGGGTGGTGGCGGGAATTTAATGCCCGGGATGTCGCGCAACTGCCTTTGTGGGTTTGCTCCACCGCTGACGGCGGTAGTGTCCAGCTGTTTGCGGACGCATGCGAGCAGTTAAATCCTATCAGTAAATGGCACGCTCCACCCGTCATATGACGGGCTCCTCGTGAGGGGGGTGTGATTAGCCATGGTTCATATCATCATCAGGGACGTCGCGTTAGTGACCGACCTGTGGTGTTTTGGCTCAAGTTTTGGATCCGGCGCGCCTCGGATGAGCGTCGCCGGGCCCTCACGTCGACCGCCTTCGTGTCGGAGGAGAAAGAGACTTCGGCCCGGGGTAGGTTGGTGGGGATCGCCCGTGCGGTTCATCGTCGATCTAGGTTGCGGGTATCCTTTTCTGGTTTGGTTTGTTTTCCTTTGGTTGTTGTTCTCTGGTGTGTGGGAAACCCTGATCTTTGGGACCGGGGATTGGTTTGCTTTTGGGGAACCTTTCTTTTGTGGCTTGTTTACCCCAACTTACCCATTGCCTGGGCACAGGCTCGTGCCCGAATCACACTTTTAAAACCGAGGTTTGTTTATCGCGTAGGTCTGCTGCTCGCGTTGGTGTGACGGAAGCCCTCCGGGGGGTTCCATGGCGGGTTCCTTACTTCAACTTTCGTTTGGGAGACGCGGCTGCGAGGTTTCTGAAGTGCTGCAGGGAGTTCATGGGAATAACCATCGAGGAGGAGGCCGGCTGAGTCAGCGTAGGGCTCGGTCATAGGTAAGGGAGCCAGGGAGGGGTGAAGGAGTGAGCTAGCTCTGTAATTTTGAGCCAGAGTTACTCCCATTTTGCCCCAACTAGTTTTATTAATCTGCTTTTGAGTTCCCATGGGCCGGTTTGGCGTGCACAACGCTTGGGACTCTTGGGTTGCAAAGGCTTCCCTCAACTCACCGCAAGCTGATTTGAAGTTTCAAGCCTTGGGTTTCGCCCCGTTTTGGCCCATGAGTCTGATGCCTATCGCGAGTCAAGTGAGCTGTGCAGTGTTCAAATTTCTCAGCTTGTTGGCAAGGAAGGGGAGCAGCGCCTTTGGCTATGCGGGTTTTGGGTCGAAAGGATTTGCAGAGAACAAGCTAAAAGGATCGCTTGTTCAGGGTTGCGCCGAGCAAAACATGGCTTGTTTCCGTTAATCTCCTCTCATACCAAAAGTTACCCCTTGAGTCTTTGAATCAACTGGCTCAGTATGGAGCTGCCTCGCAAGCATAGGGTGGCATTTAGTTTTTCTTTGAACCCATAAACGCATATCCGCTGCGTTTGCGTTTTGGGCACCGTGCCATACCTTGTAAAACTGCCAACTCCATGCACACTCCATGAACAGAATCCATTTACCTTAGGCCTGCACGAGCAACGGCATCGCACAGACGCTGGCGGGACAACAAGGATGTGCAAAGTCGCTTGAGGGTCTCAAGTAAGAGCGGGAGTCACGCAACGCGCAACCTCCCGCCGCTGCCGCACGGTAAGCCTTTTGTTTTTCTTTCGTAGATGTGTGTTTCCCACTTGACCAGTGCCGACGTTTTGTTGATCAGGTTGAGACTTAAACCCAGGGTTCCCCTTTGCGCATCAATCGCTGGGCTTTCCACTCCTGACAGGAGACACCCAGCTAACGACACGCTTGCACGCGGGTGTCCTAATGTCTCTCCTGAGAAATTGCTTCCCGTTTGTCTTTACAGACTGTGTTCGGATTTTATCACATACTACCCAGTTCCCAGTTCTTCAGAGACCTCAGTAGAAGCAACTTTGGCCACTGTTTGGAATGTATGTATGTAATGTAGTTTCACCTCTTTGAAACACACCCCAGTGTCTTTTGGGGCAATGAACACACGGACCTCTGTCAACGGCCACTTCCGCGCCGGCGTCTGAGGCGCCGCAGCCGAGCCCGCCACAGCCGAGCCCGCCACAGTCGAGTCCGCAGCCAAGCCCACCGCCCCCGGCAGCGAAAGCCGAGCCCAAGAAGGCGGGGCTGCGGCTCGGCGGTTTTGAGGCTCAGTACCCTTTGCGGCGTCGTGTTGAGGGCAAACCGAAAGGAAGCGGCCTGTTGTTTTGTTTGTTTGTGGGGAAGGGGAGGGGAGGGATCTCATGTTTGCAGCCACACCCATATATTTCCATTGGTGGATTTGAATACTTCTCCGATGCTCGGGGATTCCTGAACTCAGGTTGGTGAACTGCAGACAGTCCAGATGCTACGTGGGCACTCTTGCTGTAGTGGTTGTTTTTCGGCAAACTAAAACAACCACCGACCAATGGTCGATGTTTCCCTTGCTTGACCCATGAAGTCATGAAGTCTCATGTAATGTAGTCCCTTTGCTAAATATCGAGTCGTCCCCCATGATGCATTTTGCGGTGGGATGTAGGTTTTAAGTCGAGGGTCCAAAAGGTGCTTACCCGTTGGGATTTGGCAGCACTGACAAGGTTCCAATATGACATTTGTCCTTAAAGATTTAGAAAGGCAATGTCAATGTTTGGGTTTCGGGTTTGGCGACTTTTCAGGGAGCATCAAGGAATACAGCAGCAACCTGAAACAATGGCATTTGACCGGAGCGACATGGAGACAGTGCCAGCTTTGCCACCCAGATATTCCTGGCCGCTGTTTCACTGGGGGTGTGGTTATCCCACACGATCTTGCGGAGGATACGGCCATTGTGCCGAAAACGGAGGCCATCGTTCCTCGCAAGAAGGCAGGGAAGTCGCAAAGGGCCATGTTGGAACAGGCTTTGTTTTTCCCGGCAATCAGCACCGAAGAGGGACACACAGAAACAGAGAGAGAGAGAGAGAAAGAAAGAGGAAGAAAGAGAGACAGAGGGAGAGAGAGAGAGAGAGAACAAGAAAGAAATAAAGAGGAAGGAAGAAATAAAGAAAGAAATAAATAAAGAAAAAAATAAAGACAGAAATAAAGAAAGAAAGACATAAAGACAGACAGACAGACAGACAGACAGAAAGAAAGAAAGAAAGAAAGGAAGGAAGGAAGGAAGGAAGAAAGGAAGGAAGAAAGGAGGAAGGAAGGGAAGAAAATAAAGAAATAGACTAGAGAGAGAGAGAGAGAGAGAGCGAGAGAGAAACAGACAGAGGGAGAGCGAGAGCGAGAGAGAGTGCCACAAACAGGTGCGGATATCCCCCTTTGCATACGTTGTTTCAGTTAGTCTCCTCCAGGTTTTGATTGTGACTCCCTCATGGTTTGGTTTCCCACCAGTAATCGTCATCAACAAGGATTCCTTTTTACAAGCATGGTCAAAAAGAGAATCTGAGACGGGGATTCGTTGGGGGGGGGTTCGCCCGATGTTTTGAGACGAATCCATGTGTTCCGCTTACTGGCAAAGGTCTTTGAGGGCTTCAACCCGCCCCAGAAGAGCGCCACCACGGAGGGGCCCATGCTGCGCCGACGCGCGCACTCCTCGGACAGCCCATGCAACCCCACAAAGGTCCCACCAGGCCGATTTTCGTTTCCGAAGCCCAGATCTGCAGTAGCGTGCCTTTTTCGGAGGGACGCGGGACTTTAAACAACAAACACAAACCAGAAAAAGAGTGGCGACTCTAGTTTTGCCATTTGCGAGTCGTTTCCAAACCAAGCTTTGTGGTTCAGGGCAGCTCCGGGAGTTCTGGGGTTCCGGCAAGATTCCGGGGGTTCCTGTTTAGGATACTGCCTGGGCATATGTTAGTTTCGAGGGGGGGGGACAATGACAGGGGCGGTGCGAGCGTGTATTCGATGAGCCAGGCAAGTTCGGTTCGGGTTCCTTTGCTCTTCCTTTAGATCTTTAAAAACCAGCGTTCTACCCATGCGGAGCAAATTGCTGAGAATGCCAGAGATGTGTGCAGTCTGTTTGCAGCCACTACTTCGTGTACATACTTCTTTCCTGTTTGCTCAGCCGCTTGTTGCCCATGCCATTCCCACCTGCTCAGGAATGAGCGTATGCTTAGCCTTTCTTTTTCCGAAGGGCAAAGCCCCTTGTTTACCCCTTTTCTGGATCCATCAGCTGATCTCTTCACTGTCTCTTGCGTGGAGTTTCCTTCCTATCATTTGGTGCTACGTATCCCATATACTGTTTAGTTTTCCCAAAAGGAAACCTCCAAAGGGGATAGAGCAATTATATATGTCCCTCCCGCAATAGTCATGGCTCGCGCACCCCTGGCAAGGCTTTTGTTGTGGAATGTTGGAGTCAAGCGGACTGCCCTTTCCAAACTCTGGCCTCATTGTTTTACCATGATCAAAGTCACCCCCTATGTGTCAAAGGCCGTCAAATTGACGACCCCGGAAACTGGGTACTACATAGCCAATAAATCTTCAATGTTCCAACCTACAAAAGAGGCTGTGGCTCAAAAAACGGGTACCAAACTGGATCCCTGGTAAGTGGACACATGGACCAAAACCTGCGTAACCCCTCCTGTTTAATTTTGAGCCACAGCCCTAAGAGAGAATTTCACTGGGCGTGTGGAATAGGATGGATTCCCGCTCGCTGGCTGAGGCCGGCAGCCTGCCGAATCTCTTGGCCAGGCAGATGGGTGATCAGCGTCGTTCCCCTTTTTGGAGATGCCGGTGCATAAAGGGGATTGGATCTTTGCTTTTTTGCCAGACCCCCTATTTATCAGCAAACCCCCTACTTGGTGGTTTGGATGGTTTGGGGATTTGAGCCCCTAGTTCTTGTAGAGGGTAAATGGGAAACTGTCCCTAGCCGAAACATCAATCCAAACCACCAAAGAACGAGGAAAGCTGAAGTTAGACCCAGAGATTCAAGAAAGGGATGCAGGGTGCCCGGCTGGAGACCCCGTTTGGCCAGGCGGACGACCACAGGAAGCACCACTAGCAACAAGTGGCACGAGGAGCATGGTTGTCAACGCAGAACCGCAGATAGGTATAGATCAGAAATCCCTAGAAATTGGGGCACACGGTTGACCTGTCGCAAGAAACTTTACTTGATCAGGCAATCAAATTTGCATCCCTGGACCCGACCAAGCCGATTTGGCACGCTGCCTTATTGGGGTGTAGCCTGCGCCGGGCGAGGTGAAATCTTTGAACAAGTTGATCACACTAGACGTAGTTTTTCGGATTCGGACCATGTTAGTGGCAGCCAGCTCCGGGGGCTCAAGATGGGGTGGGCTTGGAGTTGTGAAGCCAAGGCCCAAGTGACGACATTCCTCGAGGGGTGCCCTGCGGAAATCAAAAGGGTTGATTTTGTGCCATCTTTTCCTAGGCCAGTCCTTTGGGCCTGTGGCGCACCTTGTTTTGTGGAATGCTTCGCTGAACCAAGTAATATGTATTTATATGAGCCTGTATATGTGCACATGAGCCTGTACATGTGTATACGAGTATGTACATATAGTCTATATACGCATACATATATATGCGTGGTAAGTAATATATATATATAGATAAACATAACTGAACTTGGCGTTAACATCTCCCACGACCTCATTATTTAGCCGCCCTTTGTTTCCAGGTCCCTCCCGTTTCAGCGCATCACCTAACTCCGGCCGTCGCTCGAGGAGAACCGCATCCCCGGGGCACACCAGTCGAGAGCCAGCCCTGCCTTGCCCACACCTGGGCCGGGAGCGGGATGGCCCAGAGCCAGACGAGAGGTCCCTTGTTAAATCCATTCGATGCAGAGTATATTTTTCTATGTTCCCTTTGGTTTCAAAGGGAACCTATCGCTACTGGCAATATTTTAATATTTTTCCGGGGGACTTACACCCGCAAATGGAGGTTTGTCAGTGTGTTTTTGGAGGGCGGGCCCTTTGAAGTCAACCACACACCCAGACTTCCCTTCAAAAGATGTCCCAGTGACATCAAGGCCGGTTCTTTGTTCCCATGGACACCACTGGTCTGGAAATATGTTTGCCGCTCTGTTGGTTCTAGAGGTGACCTGTCACTACTGGACATATGTTATTGCTCCAGGGGAGGGTTGGGAACCGAATTGTGTGAATGAGGGATTTTCCCCCTTCTCCGATACCAAGGAACCTGCCCTTCAAATGACCAAATCTTTATTTGAAGGCTGGTACGCAGTGCCATTTCCGACAAAGATGCCAAGATGTGCAAAGTTGGATTTGTTGCACGCTCATTTGGGGTGTGTAAACCAACAAAAGCCAATGGTCAAAACTCCGGCATGGGTCATGTTGGCTCCTTGAGTTTTGCCTTGCCTGGTTTTTTTCTTTCCGCCTTGGCGCCAAGGACTACAACAACACCACCAAGGAGAAGGCCCGAAGTTTGGCATGCCGCAGCTTGCCCTATATTTCCTTACTTCTCTTTAAGGCTTTACGGGACAGGTTTCAAACCCTGGGATGCACAACTTGTGTTCCCGCGACCACTGGGCTTCCGAGGCATAGCTTGTCTCTCATTCCGTTGGATCTGTAGCCTTTCGGCTCTTTTGAGAAGCTTAGTGTAGCGTCCCCACCAAACAGTTTAAGCTCTTTGCAGTGGAGCCAATGCACACATCAAGAGCAGAAATGTGGTTCAGTGGTTCGCCCTGAAACACCATGTGCCCCTCAATTGGGGTTGTGGATTGGAAGATATTGCAGTTTGGGGTTATCCCAGTTCACTTTGAAGCCGCACTTCCTAAAGCACCACCCCACCGGGTGGCTTGATTTCGCAACGCAGGTCCCAGGTGGCAGCTACTTTGGCACCGGACATGTCACCGCAACTGGGCATCATTTGGCTGGCTTTCGGGGACAAGCACATGCGCAGGGGCTATCTATTTGACACTGAAGCATTGAGCTAACGAGCTAAGGGGAGGTTAAATGGCACCAGCCATTTCTCAGGCGCTCATGTTTCTGGGGCTTGTTGGCATGGTCATGGATCTTTGCGGAGTCTGGGGTGTCCTCCAAACCTGTTCCAATTGTTTGGGTAGATATGGAAGATAATCTGACATAGTACTTCTGCCCAGCTGGCCAAGTTTCTTATTGGGGCTTGGGTGGGCTGGTTGTGGATCAGGACGTAGACAACCACTGAAAGATAGGGAGCCAAGCCTGCAGTTTCGACTGTGGCACACCTGACTGGCTGCTGAGTATAGTATAGCGCATGAGTGTTAATTTCTCTCAGACGAGGCCAACAGGGGATCAATTGGCCAAAGGGGATGGATGTTTTACAAGGTTTCGAGACCACCCTCGCCAGCACCCGAAGGGCGGGAGATTCAGAGCTATTGGCGTACATGTGCCTTGACCATCGCGACGACCCAACTTGGGTGTTTTTGCGATGGCACATGTCTTTTATGGCAAAGACGTGCGACGTTCCATGGCAAATGCGAAGCTCTGGTTGGCCCTGCCCCAAAAACAACAACTATGTTTTCTGGGTGCCTGGAAGGGCCAGGTCAGGCAGCCAGGTAGATATCTCCCTGGCTTTCGCGAGAGCGAGGTTGGCCTGGACAACAGCGATGCATCCTTCACCATGGCCCAGGCCGAGCCCCTCCCCAGACGTCCCCAGACTCGTGGGTTGCTTCTATGGTTCCGCTTCTTTTGAGGGGACCTTCCCTCTAAAATCCCCAGACACAGACACGTATTGTTCTTTGTCTTTGTAGGGAGGGGGGGTTCCCTTTAGAATCGAGTAGCAAAAAAGGTGCCCTTTCTTTCCCGTGGAAGTCCACGGGGGGGTGAATTCCAATCTTTGCTTCCAAGCCATGCAGAACCCAGTTCTAGATTAATATTCCGATAGTTTAGTTTCTCGCCGTGGCTTCCATGTTTAGTTCATGGCGCCCTGGAATCCTGACATTCTCCTATTTGGGCTCTTCTTAACCTTATGGGTTGCGCAAGCAATCCCCTGGCTTTCAATAGGGATAGGACTGGCCAAGACTCCATTGTGAACAGCTCATCAGGAGAAGCAGTGCTTCATCAAGAACGACTTGAACAAGAACGGCACCTTGGACTTCCAGGCGCAAACAGAACTCCGGCGATTTTGTGTTTCTTTTTGTGGGTCCCTGAAAGAGCCGCCACTTTAATGGACCTGGCTCATGTGTTGCTTCCATGCTTTGTCCTTCTCTCAAAGCTAGCCCGTGATTTCCAGGAACTTGTAGGTGCAAGCGGCTCACAGCGTGGTGCCGTTGGGGCGTTTCCTCACTCCGTGAGTTTCGTCCGAGTTTCTGGACTGGGTTTGGGAAGACCATGGTTTCCGGCCGATCCATTCAGAAAGAGACTTATATTACATCATGTATTACGTGAGTTTGTTGACCGGGCTTTGGTTTTCAAGACGGGTGCTCACGGACCCCTGGAAATCGAAGACAAGGACAGACCGCAAATCATGGGCCCCATGGATTCCTGTATGTTGCCATTTGACGCCCAGCTTTCTAGGATGCCCATCCCGCCCTGGCAAGTTCCTCTCGCCTTGGGTCCTTTGGGTGGGTGGTTGACAGGCAAGATGCGGACATGATCGCTGTTCACGGCTTGTGCATGCTCAATGCCGTTGCTTGAGTAGCTGGTCAGCTGCGGTTGGCCCACTTCCGTGTGCGGGTCGCTTGGGGCTGCCACATGTAATCAACATCTACGCAGGAAAAAATGCGGTGCAATTGGTGTGTTTCAACAGGCCATATTCGACAAGGCCAGGTCTGCATCAAGCCTTTAAAACACTTCTTGGGGCAATTCTGAGAGTCCGGGTTCGATGGCACCTCCGAGTCTGAACTTTGTTTTGGCGAGTTCAACACACGTGGTCAACCCCCCCAAAAGGCTGCCTTTGTTCTACGTGCAACCGGGCTGCTTTGAAGTTCACGTGGTTCTGTTCTTGAGTTTTTTTTGTTTTTTTTGTGTTTGTTTTCTTCTTCGGATCATTTAGCAACTCACATTGATCAAATTGATTTCTATTCCCGGAAGAGCATGAATCTCCAACAGTGCCTTATTTGTGCGTGTGTTCGGGGCTCCGGACGGTCCAGGAGCTTTGCAGGCTGCTGCGGAAGGGTGACCCAGCTGTGACGGACACCGAGGCGGGTGGACAAAAGGCAGTGCGGTGGGTTTTGAATATATGTTGGTTTCTCAAGATTGCTTGCTAGCGCTCAGTGGGGAATGACGCAGGGTGTTGGGATTGAATGAACCCATTTTTTTGTTTAAAGGAAACCATAGGGACTGGTTTGTAGCGGTCGTTCCCTCATTCCCTGCTGAGAATCATCAAAATTATGTTGTACCCATATTTCCAGGACAAGGAGTGCGTGACAAGAACTGGTTGAGTTCACGGAAACGGGGAAACTCAAAGGACACCCGGATATTTTGTTTGAAATGTTGCCGAGACCCGATTGCTAAAACAGCAAGGGTCCCGGTCATCCAAAGAAAAGTCCCCCTCGCAGAAGTGAAACACGGACGCGGCAGTCCTGGGGATCGCTGTTCGCAACTTGTGCAGCCCCAGTCTATGGGCGCCCTTGGCTTTTCCTCTCTCTTTTTTGTGGGGATCTCTGTAAAGTCGACGAAAAGGGTGGCCTTTCTTCCCATGAGCACCGGGGGTTTGGGATGAATATGTTTCTTGTGGCATTCCTCGGTGGACAAAGGCAAACGATGTGCAACATTGGGGCCCTCACATCTTCGATTTTAGGCGCAGGGATGGTAGGTGCAGAGGACAATGTTATTCAGGGGCCCCGGGTTCGTGGGTGGTAGGAGTTATATCACAGTTTCCCTTCGTATCACTTGTTTTCAACAATCATGGTTCTGGACAGGGCTCGCTGTTCAGGACACTATTCTTCGGAAGTGAAGGAGTAGCATTGGAGAACCCCTCGATAGCAACCCGACACAAACCAAGGTAGCGCCACTCTTTCTGAGGGCCTGAAACAAATATGAAGCTTTGTAGGGTCAACCTGTTACTGTCTTTTGTCTTGTCCCTCCAATATGGTGGTAAAGATTGAACCCTCGAAGCTGCCACAATACCATATTTTTTGAGACGACCCCCCTTGCTTCTCGCATGGTCTCTGGATGCATCTGCGGAACAATCTAGTTGAAAGCTTTTGGGTTGGATCGTTAACCTTTAACGTCTTGGGCGAATGATTATTCTCCCACCTTGGCTGCTACTTGGCTTGATGTTTGGACTTTAACTTTTGGGGAGACAGTTAATTTTCAGTTGGACCCACAAAATGTTAAACTTGTTGCAGGGGGGTCAACGGCAACTAAACCACTAGCAAGCGGAAAGTAGTTCACACTCGGGCAGGGGGTGCTAGGTATTAGGATTTCAGGGAGAAGTGATCCCATTGGACGTGCCCGGTTAAGCTCATTCCTACATTGATACACAAACATGTTATTCCATAGAAACATCTCCTTCAGGGCACCCTCAAGACTTTCTTTTGAGGTCAAAAAGTGTAAGCCTTTCTGCGAAATTTGGAGAGGGAGCGTTTCATGCGGGGTCATGAAGGTCAACCTTCCATTCAGAAGGCTTTTTGTCCCTGGAAAGCATAGAGGTCCTCGCATCCTTCTCCATCAGCGCCAGGTGCATGCCCTCTTCCAAGCCTTGGACGCCAACGGGGACCGTCAAAACCTCGTCGTTTTTTTTCTTCTTCTTGTTTTTCTTCTTTTTTCCCCAACAGCTGAAAGCTTTGGGGTCTCAGCCCAGATAGGCTCCGGGGTGGTCCAGGGCGGCCCTGAGGTAAGGTTCCACGAGGGTTCCACCAGGGTTCCACCAGGGTTTCACCAGGGTTCCACGAGGGTTCCACGATTCCACGCGGTTCTGCGAGGGCTGCGGGGTGGTGCGAGCACTAAAAGAGCACCGCCTGCTGTTGGGGATATCACCTGAGCTTATTTCTTCTTTTTTTACAAAGTTGATAAGCCACTTGCCAACTGGTGCTTCGAACTGCGTATTACGAAACATGGTGTGTTATTTTGACAATGCGATCCGCAATTTCAAAGGTTTCTGGTGTTTGGTGTCACAGAAGCGTCCCTTAGACGGTTGGGCTTGGGCCAACCCAGGTACATGTGAACCGGAACGAATCCTACGATTGTCAATGCCCCCCCGACACAGGCTCCCCAACTGAATAGGGGCTAGTAGCGGTTTTGGCGCCTTTTGGCTATCCCCCCCCCCCGCCCGATGCCTCTTTGGCATGCCTTGTAGGACGGCAGCATCGGGTTTCAAGAGCTCTCAGAGTATCTCCACCCACCGGGCTCCACCTTTGAACACTCCACCTGGCGCGCCTCGGCTGAAAAATATCCTAAGCTTTACCCACGCGACTGCCATGTTCTTCGAGATTGTAGAACATGGCTGTAAGGCTTCAGAAGCAGGTACAGCTCCCCGTTGGGCAAAACGATTGCAATAGATTTCAGGTGGACCAAGTATTGCCAACGTCGGACGAAGAAACCCTCCCTCCCCCCCCCTCCCCCCCAGAAGGTCAAACCTCAGATTAACGGGCTCCGGGGAAAGGTGGTTTGCGGGAAGGTAGTTGTAGGTGGCCGCGCTGCGGGATTGAGGATGCATCTGGAAATCAGATAAAGCTTTCATTTGGCTGGAATTGAAATCAACAAACATGTTGTGTGCAAAACTGGTTTTGCCGAACGCGCCCGTTGGATCCCGAAAACGCTGGCATTTAAGAAATTCAATGTTAACTTATGTTGTTTATTTGTTTGGTCGGCGGTTTGTTGGACACGGGGTCCACCGATTCCTAATTAATGTAAATAATTTTGAGCGTTCCCCCCCACCCCCAAAGGTGAGTGAGAGATCCCCTCTATGAAACAGAACCAGCAAGTGTTGGTGTGTACTGAGAATTGTTTTTGCTGTGTACCTGAACTACGAACCAGAATCAGAACCTTTCTGTGGGCCAAGTTTACTGAGAAGTTATGTGTGGGATTTTTCTCAGCGCGCCCAAAACGGGTGAATGCTCAGGTGTTCAAACAAAGGTTGCAATGGTGCCCTCCAAAAGCCCATGCCCAGTTGGTTGGGGGAAGCTTTGGTTCGAGGATGATGTCCACAACTCCCAGCAGCGGTCCTTTTTCAGGTTCCATGCATGGCTCTGGGAGGGTTTCATTTGTTTGTTTTGGGTCAGTACCCAAAATCATGGACCCATTTTTGTAAGGGTCATGAAGACTCTAGGTCACATGCCAGATCTTTGGGCGCAGCCAAAAGACTTGGGGAGGACAGCCCGCTCTCACGTCCGGGCCTGTTTGTTTGAGCCTGGAACGTATCAAACTTCATGGTGGAGCTGCTGAGGGTCCGTGGATAATGTCCAAACATGTCTATACAAAGGGAGAAGCATCAGACCATCAAAACCAACACTCACTTCCTGTGATTTTCTCCGAGTTCGCCTTACACAAAACTAACCGTAGATCATACAGGGAAACCAATAAAGGACACCGTCCAAAGGTTGAAGGGAGGGGCCCTTTGGGGCGGGTCAACTTATTATCTGCCGTTTTTGTCCATTCGTTTCAGCCGTCCTTTTTCTCAGACACTAGCCCACCAACAAAAGAAAGATAGAGCTGCCAACGGCATTGGCAGTCTTTTATTAGGGGCATAGCAACTTTGTATGTGTTTTAGTTGCTTGGCTCTTTTCACCTCTAGTGGGGCTCCTGACAGGCACGTTGTCTTTTTCGCTTCGCGATGCGGGGAGCTGTAGGCAAAAAGCTGCGGAACGCCTTCAGCCTCTCCCAGCCGGGGCCAGCGGACTACGTGGGCAACGACCGGAACCTCGCGGGCAAGCGGAACGCGCCCCGCGCTGTGATCCCGGCCCAGAGGCACGGCGAGGGTAGAGTCATGAGTCATGAGTCAGTCTGCGCATCTGTCCCACGAAATGTGGAAGAGTCAGCAATGATTTTCTACTCAGGATGTGGGCCCTCATAAGATTCCCCCCCCCTCCCAAGAGAGGACCCTAAAGCACGCGCCCATGAAACACGCCCAAGAGCCAGAAACCTATCCTTGCACCTTGGGGATTGCTTTAAGGGCTAGGTGATCTTGCAGATACCCAGGTGCTATGTTTGGAGGTAGCATGTCTTCTTGCAAGGATGTAGACCCGATGTCGCAGGGTTGCCTTTTTTGACCTCGGAAAAGAAGCTACGTCAAGACGGCCAAGTGAGCTACACATTTTGCAAGGAGAATGACCGACATCGGCATCAACCTCGACTCGCCGGGGCCCTGCGCGTATACCAGCCTGGACACTGGTAGCGCTTTCCACAAGCCGCTCACCTGACTTATTTTTCGGTCGACGGGATCTTGGGATTGCCAACGACATACAGCAGGGCAGTTCTCCGCCTAAGCCTTTGCATGAGGCCAAGTAAACCAACCACACAGTATAGGAGTTTACCGGGCTCTATGTATCCTTAGGGCATCCACTGTACATCCAAAAGCTACCTGCTTCACAGGGAGATCCTTTGAATCAGCTCGTGCAAGTGTTTGTGCTTGTCCCATGCATATACTACGTTAGGCCACAAAGCTGTGTAAAACACAGCTGGTAGCTAAGAACCCGAGTAAGATCCCCTCCAGAATAAGATCCCCTCCGGTCCTTTTTGATCCCTCTACCAGTTGACTTTTCCAGCACAATTTGCTGGTGCTTGTAGAAGGTAAATGGAAAGCCATCCCCTTAACCTCCAAAACAATCCAAGCCACCCATTAGAGCCACAGCGCAGCTGTTTTAAGAGCCCCGAATTGGGGGGATTTGTGCTTCCATGTTCCCTTTTGTGGGGAAGACTAGACAAGTGGAATTGGGGGCACTCACCCCCCCCCCCCTTTCCAGGGGCAAAGCCCTCCGCTTAGGAAGCCCTTCGCCGCCACCTTCGGCAACGCGCCCAAGAAGATGGACGACCGCTCCGTATCCCCGGGCCCCGGCGCGTACCATCAGAACTTCTCGGCACCTCGGTGCAGCTTTGGATCGTGCCTGGCTCTGGGTCTCGGAAATGGGGCGTTAGGGTCAAGCTCCAAATGTCTTTCTTGTTGGTGCGGCTCATGTGGTTGTGTGTTTTTTGGTTCTGGTGTGCCTCATGAGGTTGCCCTGCTTGTGTTTCTGCCAGGCTAGGTTTGGGAATGACCCATTTTGGTACCAGAGAAAGTGTCGTTGATTGACCACAAGCGCCTCCTTCCCAGTCAAGCATTCGGAATCTCCTTGCGGATGAGGAAGGTTGGCGATATGTTGTTTAGTTGTACTGCAGTTTGGGTTCTGCTCACTGCTCACCTTTAGTGGAAGGCTGGATCGATCTGCAAGATCCTTATGCCAGATCGTAGTGGTTTGCCTTGTCTTGTGGTTTGTAGTCGTGTCCCACGGATTACGGCTTAGCATTGTTGTTGCTTTGAGTGAAACCACAAGGGAACCGAAGAGAGCTTCCTGCTCTACACTCTTGCTGATTTACTCGAATCCGACGCGATTGAACTCCCATTTGGTTCTTTCCCAGTTTTTTTTTTGTTGGCAGCCAGCCAGTTTCCTTTTGGTTTTCGAAGGGCTCCCTTCGTTACCTCGGGAAATGGACTCACTGGATGTGGCTGCCCTTTGGTTTTCAGTTGGAGGCCTCGGCTTTCGAGCTTTCGCAGCCACAAAAGAACACCCCGTGTCCCCTCCGAGTGCTTTGGGTCCCGGAAGGGGAGGGGGAAGCCATCGAGCCGAGACGGGGTTCCCAGAGTTCAGGACCGGGGTTGGTTTGCTGTTGGCTTCAAAACGTGAAATGCCGCGACGGGGTGCGCCCAATTAGAGTCAGAAGGGCTCATGTCCCTTCATACCATTTGGGTTGACTTTGGTGAAGTAGCTTGACCAGAGCCAGAGTATGCCTAGCCACTTATTGCGCGCCATGCGAAGGGGGTGCAGGTTGTTTTCTGCCCCGGCTTATCTTTGCTTCCAGTCCTTGGGATTTGGGTGGCTTGGTTGAGTCGAGTCCCAAGAATCGACAGGCTAAGAAGCACTTCAATCCAATTGGGTCTTTGGACTCACACTCCCAGGAACGGATCCCTTAGATTGTTGGCTTCTGTTGGTTTCCCTTTGCTTGATTGCTGGTGGGTTGGATCCTTAGACTTGATTTGTTTGGGTGAAATCAAGGGGTTGTCCGTATTAAACCCGCAGAAACTTGAACGACTTGTTGCAGAATGGGGTCAGCAGTTAGCAACCAAGACCTTCTGCCCACAGGGCTCCCTGTAGTTCCCTTCTCCAAGAACTCGTTTTCCCTCCGAGCCGAAACTCGTCGCCTACGCTCGACTCGCTCAGTTCTTCTGCCGAGGTCTTGGCGCACCAGAAGCAAGGCCCCCGCGCCACCATCGGCGCGGCACGGCGGGCGCTCTGCGACGGCCATGAGGAGACCACCCCGGGGCCCACGTCCTACGTGGGGGAGACCAAGTATAAGGCGGCACCAGATTCGGAGAGGTCTGCCTACAAACCAATGTCGGAACTTCATTAGTACCCCTCCCCCCCACCCCATTTTTGCTGGTTCCCCAATTCCTGGTTGCTCCCGGCCAGCCGATTCCTTAGCCAGCCGATTCCTTAGCTTTTTTGCCTTTTTAGTTGGTTTAGTGGTGAATTTAGCAGGGGATCGTTGACAACGAGCTTCGGGGCTTGAACCCTATGAGGTCTGCCTAAAATTTATCTGTAGTGTATGATTCACGGGAGGGGCATGGGGGAACTCCAACATGCAGATGGCCGGGATTCCTTGGTGGCTTTGGGAGCCATCCGATTCAACTTAACTGATTGGATCTTTTTAGTTGGTTTAGTGGTTGGGTTTCCGTTTAAACGACTTAAACAAAAAATAAATACAAAGACAGCAAGAGATCCGAGATAGCCCAGATTCAGGTGTTGAATCCCATGAGGTGTGCGAAATTAATTACCTGGTTGTGTATGATCCGTGTGGGGGAAATCGTGGGGGAACTCCAACGTGCAGAACTTGACTTGACTGCTATTGGGTTGGATCCTCAACTTTTCGCTCTGGGCAACAGCTAGACAGCATTTGGTCTAGCAGCTTCACACCAGCGTCAGCATTGCTGGCATTGTTTTAAGACTAGAGCGTCGGTCGAATCACATGGGCCACAGTTTGGAGCCCCGATAGCATGCCGAGTAGTCGAAATCGCAAATAGGTGCGGGCCTTCTAGGTCTCACGGGTTCTGATTTTCAATCAGAGTTGCATGTCAGGGGGTTTGGTTGGGGGTCCGCGATAAGCCGACAGGATGCCACGCCTTGTTGGGGTCCCCTCAGTGTGAGACACGCCTCTGCTCAGTTGGGACAAGAGGGGGGAGGCGGGTCAAATCATACTTGCCTGTTTTGCCACCAATGCGAGGGCCAATTCAGAGAAGCCGCGTGATTCGCGTCGTTTTCTTGGGAATTGCTTCTTTGCCTCTTTTGAACTATGATGCAACCCTGCAGTTCATGTTGACATATGGAGCAAAAACACCCTGGTAGGTTTACTAAGCGTTTCTGCGGTTTTACTAGTGAACGTAGAGTGTGAGTTTGAGTACCATTAGTCAGGCCACCATCTAGAATCTAGAGGATGTTCCCATGCAGTTGAACTCCATAGCCAGATGTATTCATACACCATAAGTGGGTACGTTTTGCCTTTTGCCTCCTTCCCCTTGTGGTTGAACATTGTACCCATGATGGGATTTGGGCATTCCCAGTAGCGGGTCTCCGTTGGGGTGTGGTCCAAGTGTACAGGATTTGCTTGTTGACTTCCTTGTTCAGTTCAAGATGTCCCCTTACACTTTGATGGGGCCAGATGTGTTGTTTCTTGGAGTCATACGGCTTTGCAAAACCAGAGCTACCCTTTCACCAGAAGCCGTTGACTTGCAAAGGCCCGCTTGGAAGACTACTTCCCCGTTGGACAAGTCTGGTTGCCAGGCAACCCCTGCTGGTTTTCCTTATCGGTTTTCGAACTTGAGTCCCCAGAGCCCACAAAAGCCACGCCAGCCAACCGAAATTTGGCAGGTGAAAGGCGGCAACTACTTTGGAGTGCCAGGGCGCATGTCGCTGCCGGACCTCTCGTATGAGAAACGGGCCTTTGCAACCTGCGATGTGAACAAGGACCGTGCCGTTGCAATGCTATTCAAAGGCAATCCTTTCTCCTTCTCTGCGTAAGAAGTCCCTACTTTTGCACTGGTTTCCCTCTAGGGGTTTAAGGATTGGGCAACCCGTTTTGAGGCATCTCCGTCGTGCCTCTCCAAATTGGGGGATTCAACGGACAAGCACCTCGCTCGGCCCTAATGGTAGTCGAGCTTACTAATTCGCGGGATAAAACCTGATCCGCAGTTGTTGATTTCAGGTACTAGGGATTGTTAGAATTATGGAGAGCGCAGATTCCTGGATACGCTCTTTCCAATCGAAGTAGAGCTCTATCCAACAATCCTTGATGGAAGTGGACCCGGGTTTCACTCCCTGTAGGAACCACATGGGGATATAGATCATATTAGATGTTTTTTCGACGAGACCCGCTCGGGACTCGGGACAGCGGCTTCCCTTGGAGTCCTTTGGAATTTCTTTCGTCAGCATCGTCAGCTATTGGAAGGAGGTTACCGGGAAGTCTTCATGCTTGGATTCTGGTAATTCTAGTACACCTCGCCTCGTGGGAAGCCAAGCGATCATTGGCTTCCCAGATGGATTTTTGGGTCCCAGTTGGACGCCGGCTTTTGGATTTGTAAGGTGGGGACGGGTCTAAGGTCTCCGGCGAGGGGACGGGTCTTTGCCCTTTCTTCAGCCTCCCCTCTTGCATCGAACGCTGCTTGTCCGCGAACGCTTTAACAGATCAGAGTTTTGCCGGAGCAGTCACCGGCTTTCTAGTTGTTTTTGTTGAGAACATGTTTTGGAACTCGAGCGCTCCCAAGCAGCTTCTGTGTCAAATGTTCTGAGCGGCAAGTCGGTGTCCATGGCAACAATGTTAAAGACGGCCCTACAAACCGGTTTGTTGTCTGAAATGATGACGACAACGTCAGGCGCACGGACGTCATCCCAGTGCGAGATGGCCCAATCAGCGGGTATTGACAGTTGTCCCTCGGACGTGGCTCTTGGTCCCCTCGTCTTCAAATGCCCAGCCCGCTTCAGGACGGACATTTGAACTTGGAGGAGGTCTTCACACTCCTCAGGAGCTGTTTCTTTCCGGTTGCTCGCGCGTATCCTGGGGGGGTTTGTTCAATGTCTGTGAGAAACGGGGAGCAAAACCATTTGGCTTGGTCGGCCCCGGTTTTCGGCACTGTACCTGGGTTTCGAAAAAAAAGTGGGTGCAGGCAACGGTTCGGGGTCCTGGTGTTCCCTTTCGAAAGGCTCACAACCAGTTCTGGGTGCCAAAGACGTCATACGTTTGGAGTTTCCCTCAACGAAGTCCCAAAAGGGAAAATATTTGATTTGTCCAACCCTTCTATTTAGTAATTGGTCAAGAAAGCTGAGTCCCCCCCCCCCACCATAGGAAACAGGGAGTTGCTGAAACATTTGGCAAGCACGCACCAGTTCTTCAAATTGTGTAGTTTTATTTGCAGATGTTACAAATCCAAACTTCAAGCTTTCTGACTCCCAGACAGACCCCGCCTTTTTGCGGCAAGGGCCGATTCTTGCTTGACATGCCCAGATGGCTGTGTTCTGCATGGTCACTGCTTGCTTTCCGGTGTGTGTGTGCTCCGGCGAGGCTTCGCAACTGTTTGTGGCCTAGTGTCTTCTTCGTTTGAAACTAGGCCTAGGGTCAGCTCTTCTTTCTTTCTTTTTTCTAGTGCGCGTAGCGCTTTGCTCTTCAAGCGACGCGACACAAACACGCGGCCTTGTTCTGGCCATACACCGCCTCAGGCGAGAACTCGCCACTCGCGAGCCGCGCAGGAAGGCGGATATGACGGTCACGCAGCAGGAGGCCAAACAGGCCAGGTGGAGTCAACTGCCTTTGGCATGTGTTTCAGTGTTCTTATTTTGTTTGCTTCTGTTCATTTGTTTGGGGGGGCTGCAAAACGCATTATTGTTGCTCATCTTTTCAGGGGTTTGAAGGCATTGCCACGCGTTAAAGCCGCCCAGAAGACATAGGTTAAACACAACAAGTGCCATGGTTGGTTGTGGAAGATGTGACTCTTGGGCAACTGACGTTCCGTGAAAATGGATTGACTGTCACATCGCAAGTGACAATGGTGGCCAGACTTTGGTATCACAAGGTTGCGGGTACATGAGTCGAGCTGTTGCTGTCTGAACCTCAGAGCACCCACAACCTGAACTTGGCGGCTGCAGGAAGCCATGTGTTTTGCCCACCTTGCCAAGGATTGGACAGTTTAGTTTGCTTGGTTTTGTTCCTTCGTGGGGGGCTGCAAAGAGCAGTCCGTTTGCCACTCTTAGGAACACTGTTTGACAAATGAAAGGTCTGAACCAGGTCGGTGGTTGCTCTAAATGGCCAGTCGTCGCGGAAATAGCCCAGACTATGTGTCAAACAACCTATCAGCTTGTCAACCTCCTCCGTCTGGGGCGCAGCTTCGCTGACAAGGTTTTATGATTCCCTGCCCTGAGCCTGATGAATCCCAGTGGCTGGATTTGGGCTGGATTTCTTGTTATGGAACTGTGTCCTGTGACTACTCTTGTGCGCGTGGCAAACTAGAAGGACCCAACAAACGCAGTTGTCCTTTGCTATCCTCAGTTTTGGGTTCAGTTTGAGTCAAGGTCCCAAAAAGGTTAGCCTAACTTATTTCCAGTTATCCTTTGGTCAAGTGATCCCTTGAAGGCACCCAGGGGCCCAGGAACCGCTTCGCCTCCAACGGTCAGGTCTTCGACGCCTGCGACACCAACCGGGATGGGATGATCGAGTGGGACGAGCTGAGGAACTACATCTACCCTGCCAACGGCTACGAACACACGGCCCAAAGGACAGGCTAACGGGCACCTTCTCTTCCATGTGTTTAAGAACATTGTTTATTTTCCCCTGTTGGTTTTACAAGGAACTCATCACTAATTACTGGAAATGATTTTACCTTTTTCCAGGGGGCTTAAGCAAATGGAAGTTCTTGCTTTATACCTTGCTGTTCTGTGCAGGGTGTTTCCACTTCTGAAGCTTTTACCTTGTTCTTTGGTGCTTCTTAACTAACTAATTACCCTTATTTGTTGGACAGATTGTTTTGTTCAGAAAAATGCCAAGCAGGCACATCTTGATGCCGCATTGTGGGTCTCATTGATTGTGTTTTCTCTTTGGCAAATGGATGCTAGCGCACCTTGCCAGTGGCAAACACATTTGCAGTGTGTGCGTGTGCGCGTTTGCCTGCGTGTGTTTGTATGTTTTGTGAGGTTGGTTTGAATGGAAACCAACGATAAAGCTGAAGCATTTTGGAGGTCCAACTCTTTGTTTCGACATGCCCAACTTGCTTTTGGGACTGGTTAGGTATATGCCATCCTGGTTCTCAACATGTTAGGATTGTGTTCCAGGGGGAGGAAAGGCTCAAGGGGGAAACGCTTTGGCCGGGCCGAAGGAAACGCTTCAAAGACCTCTTCTCTGCCAAGTCCCCCGGGCCATTGGACTATGACGCTCGGCTTTGAGGCGTCAAAGCCCTCGAGCGGCCTCCGAGCTGCGGTGTGGTTTTGCATTGCGAAGAAACCACAAATGTCAGCTTGTAACTTTTATGGGTGGAAACTAAGCTCCATACCTCCAAACCCATCCCTGAAAATCCATCCAACATGTGAGTGGATTCCTATCAGTGCGATTTTTTCACTCAAATGGAATCAAGCCAAGGCCTGGGTCAGTCCAGTTCTTTTTGCCAGGGTCACCGGCAACCTGGAGGGTGATGGGGTCTGGGTTTCCCTTTGTGGGGACTCTGGTTGGGTTTTGTCCACTTGAAGGCGATTGGTTTTGACCTGCCATTGTTCACCAATATTTCGCCCCGTAGGGAAGACCCATTCAGTTCATAGAACAATTCCCATCCTCATCTATTACTTTCATCTGTGGATCGGCTGGAGTTTTGTTGGATTCTGGCAATCAAGGGTCGAATGAGGGCCAGCGGTGAGAGAACGGGCTGTGGGGAAATGACGTTGAATGCTTCGCACTTCCCAGGGACATTTAACTTGCTACTTCTCAGAAAGCTTGCGAGACCCCTGCTTTGATTTTCAAATCAACCAGTAAGGTCTATGTAGCACCCAGGTACTGCACATCCGGGAACACAAAGCTTGTGTGATACGTGGAAATCGGCCTTCCCACGAATTCTTCACTTATGGGAAGGTACAGTGGATGGCCTATAGCAACCGCAAACAAAGGAATTTGGCAGGTTGGTTTACAATATGTAAGGCAACTACTGTATATATAATGTTTGATTTAATCAAAGGCAAATCAACATGGGTTTGTGTCCGGACTCCCTAATTTAGCACCCAGTTTGGCTTTGTTCATGTTTGGTGGGGGGGCTGCGATAACACGGTTGGAAAGTCCATGTGTTATTGACAGTGGGGACCCAAGAATAACTACCCCCTTGAACAAAAGGGAACCTGCCATCAATTTTACGTGGCTGCTACTTGTTTGGAGTGTTACTTTACTTTTTGGGAAGTGATTGCTTTTCACTTGACAGCCACCACAGACAACTAAGTTTCGTTCAACGTTTGTTCATTCAACCAAAGCCTTCCCCTGGCACCCTCCAAGGGTGGTCAATTTGTACCTGAAGTGCCTTGAGCCATTTCGGGTATGTACAACCCTTGGAGGGTGCCGGCGATTGATTGTTTCCCCACGCGCAGCCGAACAAAGCAGCAAGAGCAATAAGTCGTATTCTGTTAAAAAAGGACTGATTCAACCAAAGCCTTCCTATTCATCTAGGTCCCCCTGTAGTGCCCTTTTACCCTTTTTTGGGGGAGGGTTCCCCTGCTAAAATAGACTATAGATAAAAGGGTACCCTTATTCTACCCTTCCACTGGAGGACCTAGTCATGTTTAAAGAAAAAATCGGGTCTCGCTTTGAGCCCAGGACACCGTTGCCCCGCGGAAGACCAAAGTCCATGGGGGCACCATCGGCCGGGCCCGGCGCTAGCGCCCTTGGCTCGGATGGAGTCGGGTTTGCCTCGGTGGTGTTGGGTGGCATACGGTCCAGGAATGAAGTTCCTGGCGAAAATGAAGCACCAAGTGGCAACCCGAATTGAGAAGTTTGCAAAGGGAAAGCAAAGGGCAGCAACAGGGGATTTCTCTTTTCAGAGCCCCTGTGCGTCCAGATGCGTTTGGCCCGGCTAGAAACTTATCCAAATACCAGCTGATAGGATCCGAATCCTTTAAGGCATATTTTTGGCTGGAGCTCTAGACTTTTGATTAAATGGCACTCGCCAGTGTGCCAATCATTCGGGCCCCGCTCCAGAATTGTTTGCAGAACCCTTTGATCAGAACCCCTAAGAAGGCTCCTTCAGGTACGTGCGGGGGCGGGGGAGTTGGTTGTTTCATGTTGTTTCCATGAAGGCAGGTCTACTGATAAGGTTGCTACGGGTGGCGCTCGGCTTGTTTGGCTGCAGAAGGCCCATATGGCCCCAGCATGGAATCAGGAGAGCAAGTGAGTACAAGAGGAATCCGGATGGGGCCCTCAGCTATCATTGCGATCAAAGTGCGTTCCGTGAGGTGTCATGTTGTATTCAACGGGACGCACTGTAGATTGCCAATTGGGATGCCGATCAGCATTCTTGCGACCCCTTTGGCAATCACAGCTTCACTCTTGGCACGATGTTTGTTTGTTTGCTTTGTTGCCTCTGCTCATGTTAAGTGGCTAGGTCCCCCAGTAGTGCCTTTTTACCCTTTTTTGGGGCAGGGTTCCCCTACAAAAATTGACTACAGAAAAAGGGTACCATTATGCTAACCTCTCTGGCTGGTGAGTGTCGGGGCACGGATTGGAAGGACAAGGTTGCTGCAAGCTCGACATGGCAACCAGATTGGAGCAGGTCACCGAAGCCGCGTGGGGCGTAGCGATAGAGCTGCCATGTCGCGCCTCTGATGTTGTGCCCCAGGCCGGGTGTTGGACGACGGTTTCGGTCGCGCCCCACTTGTGGAATCAAATGTGACGGCACTCAGCCCATGGATGGCGAAGCAACTTTGCACCTGAAAGCTACCACAAGTCAAAGAAAGGATTTCCAGGAGCGGGGTCAATGTTCGCCGAGTGAATCACAATCACAAGCCGCGAGTTCCAGCCATAAATAGGTGCGGCTGCGGTGGGGGTAAACCATTCGTGTCAGTACCAAGCATTGTTGCCCTTTGGAGTGAGTTTCCGGTGGGTGAGGCAATGTAACATGGAGGAGATTGACCGTTCTAGGCCCTTTTCAAGTGAGCTATGTTTGTCATTCAACTCTTTCGGCTGTGTTAAAGGGAGTTGGTTCTTGGATCGGGGCTTGTTGAAAGGTGACATTCACCTTTCTCGCTGGGCCATAGTGCGCCGGTGCAGATCGGACTCTGTGCTGCTTCTTCTCTCCGAGGGCGCCGGCACTGAGACGTGTGCTGCACGGCGCGAAGGATCCGCAAAAGTTTGGTGAGGCGGAGATCCACAGGGGGCGGCTGGATCGAATGATTGTGAAGACCTTCCTGGACTTCGATGGTCGAGAAGCGGACGTGATTTTTTCACCCCCTGAACAGCTTTTCCATTTCGAGGGGGATGCTGCGGGTACCATGTTTGTAGCTCGAGTGGGCCCTTGTGACATGAGGTGTTGCTTAGTGCGCCTTCGACCTTTGGAGTTTTTGTTCGGTGGAACGATGTAAACAGAACCAAAAACATGGCTTTGACAGACTCGGTGAGTGGCTTTGAGTGAGGTGTCTGCCCAGCACATTCACATCTCGCGGTCTTAGAGAGCTTCTAAGGGCGGCCCTTTAATTGAGCGTCCTGGGAGATGCCTGAAGGGGGCACTCACCATTTTGATCCTTCAGTCCATTGTTAGTCTTTGACCTGACGGCCAGAAACAGAAAGACCTGCCCATATCTACTCTTTGAGGATGCAAACGTCGCCTTCAAGTCAGTTTCCTTTGCAACCGAAAGCGTCCCCATGCGACGCATGTCAGGCCATGACCGCGCGGGAGAAGCAACTGCGCTGCTTGGATGTAGCGTTTTCTTTTCCTTCGCCAAAATCGAAATGTTCAGAATCAACCTGCCCCTGCTACGTGGCTCTCATAAAATAGGGTTCCAAAATCTGGTCTTATAGAGGCATTAGTATCCGAAGGTGTTGCTTTGCCTGGCATGATGTTGCCATCATGGGACACGTCCATCAGTCTCTGCAGGGTGTCCTTCAAGATTTTCCCTTGTTGGGTGCAAGGGATTACCCTTCGCCACAGTTCTTCGGCTTGCAGGTCGAAGATGGTTGCCACCCTCGGGGTTCAATGGGAAACCACACGAATAAGCAAAGGATGTGTGCCCGTTTTCCCCACCTCGGGGTAGTGGGTAGTCGAAACCATTGCCACACGTTCGACACCTGGCTAAACAGGCAGGAATGGTTTCAAGCACCGCGAATCTCCGCGTCTCCCAGGCCTTGAGCTCAAGGAGTGCAAGTCCCTCTGCGAGTCCCGGCGTGCGGCTCTGCGCTTGGCTCGGCAGCAGCTTCGGGAGGCGGAGCAGCGCCAGGAGTCGATTCGACCCCGCGACGGCTCCCTATATTTCCTTTGGTGGTGGCTTTACACATCCCCTGGGCCCCATTCAAACTCAGGTGAGATCCCCCGTTAAAGTCAACTAACAATGTGCCCTTTCTTTCGCTCAGCTACTGGGTGCTTGGTGAACCTGCAGGAGCTCCATTTTGCCAAGGGGGGGTCATAAAGTTACCAATACACTGGAGTCTCCAAACTGAATTGTTGTCTTGTAAAGGTACGCTATGATATATGAAGCAAGATCATTTGTTCCCTTGGCACTCAGTCGCTTGGCTTCTGGGTGTGTTCACCTCAGGAGGAGCTGGAGACGGAGCTTCAGGCTCGAGCCGGACAGCTACAGCGCAGGTTGAGACGCGTTTTTCCTTTGGGTTGCTCAGGGTCTCGGAAGTTGAAGAGCTCGTTCGACATTAGGCCATGGAGCAACCGCGCCCTTGTGGCAGTGGCTCAAAATTAAAGATCTAGGGTTACGCAGGTCTTGGTCCATGTTTCCACTTACCAGGGTTCCATTTTGGTACCGGTTTTTTGAGCCATACCCTTGTAACAGCAGCAGCAGCAGCAGCAGCAGCAGCAGTAAACTCTGTGGCCCGCACACGAGTGCCAAAGGTGCACGTTGGCAGCCGACACGCTTTGCAGTGTTGTCTGGAAAGTGGTGGATGTCCGTGGAAGATGGTGACAATTGCAGCAAAAATGGTCCGTGCCACAGTGGAAAAAGCCGAAAAGACAAAAGGCATATGGAATATGCAAAAGGAGTGCTTCTCTGGTAGGCTATGACGCGCCAGCCAAGAAGGACATTGCAGTTGAAACGGAACCATCATCCAGCATGCCCCTGAAGGCAGATTCACATCTTACCTAAAATGCAGAAACATGTTTGGATTTTGCTTTATTGAGGAGACCCATTCTTGGATTCCATGGTCCATCTGGGACTATCAGCCGAAAGCGGTTCGTCGTTTTCCCGCGACTTCGGGTTCTGCCGGGCTTGGGAGGCTCTTCAAAGGAGCCACGGAGACGAAGACTGGGTGGAGCAGCGGCCCTGGACGCAGGACTGCCTGGTTTTTGGGGACGGGATGGCGCAGGAATAGGGTAATTATCTATTTTGCCACAAAACGACGGATCCCAAACCCGCAAACTGGAGGTTGCATGGGGGTTTGTGTTTCTCAAAGGGACCCCTCGAAGTTGCCCGGGTTTCAATCAAGGCATTTGGCGGTAGCGCACTTAGGCTGTGTTCGAACCTTCGCATGGTGCCTTCTCAATTGTGTGATACTGGGGAGTGATGACGATTTGGGAAGCACTTCCAGTACCACACCGGTTGCAATTCCCGACCCCCCTGCTGTGGATTTTTTTGGGGGCCAGCCAAATTCTCAAGCCCGGGTGCGTGAAGGTTAGTAAGGGATATATAGTTCCAACCATAAAACATTGTTCGGATATCCGGACCCTTCTAGTATGTTTTGGTTGTGACTCCAGCGGGTTGCTTTTCCATTTTCTGGGTGCTGGTTGTCCCCCATCATGTTGGACTCCACCTACAGGAACATACTTCTCGAAAATCACATGATCAAGCTGTTGAGCTCTTCTTGTCTTGGTTTACTGGTGGCTGGAACCAAACTATAAGTTTAGTATGCCGTTTTCAAAACGTGTTTTTACTGATTCATTTGTCTGAGGCAAAACGAAGAAAGAGAAAGGGGTTTGCACAAGTCGAGGTTTTGATGCCTCCAAGTCTCGATTCTCGGGCGTCTCGGTGGCAGGACCTGCGCCGCATCTGCGAGGACTTCTTCGGGGTCGCCACGTTCCGCCGGAACCAGGAGACGGGGATCCGCTGCAGCCACCCATCTCCCCCGCCCCGTGTTTTGGGAAGCCAAGAGGAAGCCCCTTGGGTTTGAGACAGTTGGGGCCAAATGCACATCGGCTGATAGATGGTTTCTGGGCGGTTGGGTTAGATCTTTGACCTTGAGCTTGTTGGGCACATGTGTGTGTGGTTTGCCAGCAACTGATTGAACTTTTCCCGCCAGGGGCGGTAGCCACCCAAGGGTCGGGCTGAAAAGCTATTCCGGCTGGTGCATAGGGGATTTTGTACATCCACAATATTGCGTTGGACTGTGAAGCAGTTTGCCATCGTTTTCTGGAATGCCTTTTGACATGATGTTGCCTTTAAGGTTCGCTGACCAGCAAACAGATTCTTTGGGAGCAAACGCTGAGGTAGATCTCACTCAGGTTCCTGGGCTCTCTGCTTTTTAGTCAGTCTAGCCAGTCCCCAGAGGTCGTTTCCAGGAAGCAATGCTGACCCTGGCCATCCATTCGATGGACGCTTGGGAAGCCGTTCATATCCAGTTCAACGAGACAGGGGAGGCTTCCTTTGCGAACAGAAGTTCACCATGAGGTCCGGTGGCATCCTGGACCACGAAGCAAAATGGACATGACACAGAAATGGTTTGCATGAACCTCTGACTCTTTTCTCTTTCATATTTACATCCCAATATAGAAATGCTTTTTGGAGGACTGACAATTTCAAGAGTCTCTGGGGACCCGCTCGTCAGAGTCTCTGTGGGCCCCGGGTATTTTTGTTCAGCCGAAAACCGGTCGGTCTTTGGGCTCACAACCCCCGGAAGGCCAAATGGAGCCATGAACCTCAGTAAAACAGGTGGTTTTTTAGAAAGAAGGATGCCTGGAAAGAATGGGGAAGGTACCCCGAGATAAAAGGTGCCCAGCGACTTCAAAACCAACGAGACTTGGGGAGGAGGAGGCAATGAACGCAGTGCTCAGCGGCCGGGACGTGGTCTTGGTCGCCCCCACGGGCGCCGGGAAGTCTTTGTGCTTCCAGGCGCCTGCGCTGCTGCGGAAGAACCTGACTCTCGCCCTTTGGCGCAAGCGAGCGCTTGAGCGGTCGAAGGGGATAGGCGAGGGGAGCGGAATCCAGCCATACGAAAAGAGGCATGTCGCCCACAAAAATGGACTCCACTAAAAGGGAGCACGGCCCAATCAAAATCAACCAGAGGTTCACCAGGATTCCTTAAAGGATGCATTCAGAATCACCAGCTTTGCACGGATTCGGATCCTCCAAATTTGCTGGCACAGCTTTTGTTGGTAACTGGTCAACATGCATCCTTTTCCAAGAGGAATCCCCTGTTCAGCCGTTTCCACGCATGCCTTTTCCATGGTTTGTGGGGTTCGTCACTGACAGGGTCTCTGGTGCCCCTCAGGTTTTCCAAGGCGATCGAACAAATTCAGAGTACTTTCGCAGAGAGGGCACCCGTGCCGGAGTTGGCATTCTTGGTCTGACCGGAACGATTCGCACCGTTTGGAAGAGTCGCACCTCTCTGAAAAGGTCAGTTCCAACAAAGAGGCGGGGGCAGTAACGGCAATGGAAGGTGCCGCACGGCGTCGGCCAAAGTGTTGTTCACCCTGCGTAGAGCCTGGCGGATGCTTGGGTGGTCTTTCTCATGCAGACTCCACTGAAAAGGATCCCCCAAAAAGTATGTGGCTTTTAATTTATGGCTTTCGTGAGCGTTATTTTTGTTGTGCTTGGAAACGAACATGTCAATCTGATCTGAACTCCATGATCTTGAGTTTGTCGACCAGGACCTCCCCCCCCTTGTGGCTGTGTTGGACCGTGTGCAGCTAGCCAAACACCATTATGCTCTTGCTTTCCCAGTTGGACTTTATTCAGGAAAATCATTTTGGCGAAGAAGATGGGTACTTTTTTGCCGTTGCACTGAGCTTTTTCGCTGAATCGGTGCCCAGGTGGTGAGCCCTCTGCTGTCGCTCATGCAGGACATCGGATCGCAAGTCCGATCGCATAGTTGGCCTTTAGACCCCAAGAACAGGGTGCTATTATACATAGCCCATATACGGTCTGGGTTTGTTGAAGCTTTTCCATGTCTAGGTAATTTCTGATTGATGTTCCCATGCTGCAAGTAAGGGCAAGTCCGGCAAGTCACCAACCTGTCGCAGTTCAAAATATTTCTTCCTTACCTTGCCAGTTGTTTCCCGGGACTATGGAAGGGCCAACCCATTCCTTGTATCCCAGTCTATCCAGTCAATACCAAGCTTCTCTGAGAAACAAAGGGGACTCGGACTTCTGCGGAAAGGTTGTTGTTGTCCTGCTTGGGTGGCGCGTTCCAACAACAGTTGGTCCCACTTCGTCCCACTTTTGATCCGATTCTTTTTATTTCAGCCCCATGGGTGTCATCCCGCTTTTGATCCAATTGTTGTTAATTTGCTGCAATTTTTAAGGCGGGCTCTTGCAAGGTGCGCTAGAAGGTCATGGCTGTGGATTTTGGTCAACTGCAGCCGACACTTGTCCATTGAATCGCATTTGGTCCCATTTGGTCTTTATTTGGTCCCAGCAGGTCGCTATACGATGCCCTTACCACAACAGAGAAATTCTAGGGGAAGTGCCCCATTCTTTCCACGGATCCTTCTTGTCAAACAACCATCAGAACATTCAGAACCCCAGGAGAAGCAGCTAGTTTCTTGAAAGCACGATGGTTGAAACGAATGGGAAATCAACCCGTCAGCCTACAACAAAAAAAACGATTTCCAACCCTCGTCGGTCGCAGTTCCAGGACCAGGTCATGGCACTCCGCGCTCTGGGCCTCAAGGCGTCAATGCTCTCCAGCGGGGACTCCCGCGAGGCCATGCATCCGGGCCCGGGCACAGAAGGGGCGTCCGCTTTGGATCCGGTCTGGTGGATGTGTCTCCCTTCTATATAGTCAAGATTCCGAAAGGCTAGTTTGTTATTCCAAGTTGGGCAAGCGAGCGGTTTAAGCCACATTTTTATATGGATGTGGGGCGATGTTTGGCAGAGCATGATATAGCTTTGGTCCCAGCTGCCGCAGTAGGCAACCAGCCATTTGTGCTCCTTTATGGTTTCCGTTTAAACCAAGCTGGTTGTAATGCCCATATCCCGCGAATGCCAGGAGCAAACCAAGGTCCGCGCGGAGATGAAGGAGATCACCAGCAGCAGCTCCGCGTTTCTGCTTCTCGTCCTGAAGCCTGAGCAACTTCCGGGGTCTCCAAAATGGATGGCTTTTCCTTGGCGTCACTAAATCAAAAGTGACACATGGCACAGAGTCAGAACACGGGTGTACCCCCCAGATGCGGATCAGGTTTTGATTCGCTCCCGGTTCTGGACTTTAGTACAGCTAGGCCAATTTGGTTGTGGAGATCTTTTGGCCACTTGGGAAGTGAGTTTGGCTTTTGGCTTTTCTTGTGCTTCACTTTGATGTTTCGTCTGGTAGTCCCTCCTAGTTCACCCACCAACACTCTTGGTCTTTGAGCCAGTCTTTTCGGAGGAACTCTCTGCGTTGCGCGATCAACCTGTTCTTCAGGTGTTTCCCGTGCTTCACTTGAACCAAGGTTTTAGCAGCTTCAGCCGACCTCTAGAACCCGTGGCTTAAGACCCACTTTGTGGAAAACTCGAGTGCTTCAAAGACGTCCACTGGAAACAATGCTGAACACCAAAACTAAAAACGCGCGGGGGTTTTCTCCACTTGTCGTGTCTTGTGCCAAAAACTCCCTTTCAGATTGGCACGGAATTCACTAAACCCGAATTTGTTCCGTTGCTTCACCGTTTCAGCACACGGTTTTTCTCAACATTGGGAACCCTTCAAGGTGGTTTCCCTTTTTCCCTTCAAAAGCATCCCTAAAAATGACACGCCCAGAGTCTTGGGTCCTTTCCTTTGGCTCGTAGGCTTTACCTGACCCCGGAGCGCCTCGCTAAGAGCAAGCTGGCCACTGGGTTCGCCTGGATTCGCCGTGTGTTTTTCTTGGACCGAACAAATCGCCGGGCCGGATCTTCTCGACCTGCATTCTTCGTGACCCTCTAAAACATAAGGGTCATGAAGGCTCCAGGAAATGGTGGACCCCTTTTGTGACATTTGCATTGCCAAACTTTTGCCTCACTTTGTTTTTAGCCATACTGACTTTCCACGATTCTCCCTTTCAACCAGCAAAAGTTCAGGGGGGTTCAAGTCTGGTCAGGGGGAATGTTTTTGAAAATGGCGGACCCCCTCAAACAATCCAATGTGTCCCCCTATGTTGGTTCAGTTGAGACTGAATGCTTCCCACAGAGTCAACTCGAGCCGAGCGCATTCCAATGTGAAAAGAAACGTGTCTGGGGACAAGCGCACGCACGACAGAGATAGAGAGAGAGAGATAGACGCACGTCGCACACACACACACACTCAAGCAAACACGCAAGCAATCAAACAATCAAGCTCACAATCAAAAGAACCAACTAGAAGTAAAATACGGAAACAGCAAATGACACAGTGACCAAAGCACGACAGACAGACAGGCAGGCAGACAGACAGATAGACAGACAGACATGAAGGCAAGCAGGTAATTAGACAGACGGACGGACAGACAGATAGACAGATAGACAGACAGACATGAAGGCAAGCAGGTAATTAGACAGACGGACGGGCAGACAAACAGACAGACAGAGAGACTGACAGACAGACAGAGACAAACTGGCACAGACAGACAGACACGGGTAGACACCGACAGACAGAGACACAGACACAGACACAGACACAAACACAGACAGAAGAACAGACAGACAGACAGACGGCACACAGAAAATAGCAAATCTGACTCTGTTCCATATTTTGCCTGCCCTAAGAAATGTGTTGTTATTCCACTCCTGGAAATATATTGAACTGAAACAAGGTCATGAACCTCCTGGAAAAGATCTATGCCGCCGGTCGGCTGGGGCTCATTGCCATCGATGAAGCCCACTGCGTCTCCCATTGGGGCCACGACTTTCGCCCAGATGCTCGCCTTGCCGAAGAGTCGTGGTGTTTGATACCTCGAATTGGTCATACAGTTTGCCTGAACATGTTTGGGGGTCCTATGGCCAATAGCCACTGCGCGTATTTGAACGATCAATCATTCTGAAACATCTATGTGGATTGATGGACGGACGAACGGATGGATCGGCCTAAAAGGAGACCTTCCATTTGCTTAACAATATGATTTATTTCCCATGGAAACTTGTGGTGGTTTGGACATATGTTTTACTTCCCCTGTTGGTTTCAAAGGGAACCTATCACTCCTGGACATTCATATTTTTAGGAGACTTGGGGGCAAAAAGAAGGGACTCCAACAGGGGGCTGGTACTTTCGATAATTTTATTGGCAGACGCGAGGGGGAAACGCCATTCCAGTCCTATGCAACGAGGTCGCCGATTCGAAGTTGCCTAGGACTATGAGAAGCTGGCGGCTCTTCGGGTGCAGCGCCCTGGTATGAAATGTGTTCCAGGGGAAGCCTTCTCATTCTTTCCCGCGATCGTTCTTTGCAGGAAATTTCGCAAAACCAAGGAGGGGAAAGAACTGGTTTTGAAAAGAACGACGGTTGAAAAATATGGGAAATCAACCTCTAGACTGTTGCGCCCAGATCAGCGGAAAGTGTTTAACACCCGAGCTAGGTCAATGGAAAGAGTGTTTCCTTTGGGTTTTTTTCCGCGTTACTATGCCCAGTGATATTATTACTTTGTTTACTGGGTCGCCAAACCCGTCGTGGTGGCGGCTAGGACAATTTAAGCAATTTGGCTGCCTGAAAGAAGACATGGAAATCCGCCGATTTGTTCTGAAGGATTGGATGTGAAACAACTCCAGACCAGCTGTGTTCAGTGAGTTTGCTCTGTGGCTTAGCGGCTTGGGATTTGGGATGCGAGGTTTCCAAGCACGCCGATCCTGGCGCTGACAGCTACTGCCGCTCCGCTAGACACGGAGGTTGAGGTGGCGAATCTTCCGTTGTGGTTAATGAGCACGTTTGTCTATTTGATGTCCGACATCAAGGCAAACATGCACGTCTTGTTGTAACGATACCCTTTTAGGATTGTGGAAAACGTGGCACCAAGGATTTTGAGTTCCCTGTTGTTTGTTCGCAATAGCCCCTTTCTCCCTCGCGGAGTCGCCTGGAGCAACGATTAGAACTTCTGGACACAGCAGCCAAACGTCCATTGAGCATGTCGCTGTTGTTGTTTTGGGCTCTCGCCTGCTGCGATATTAATTAATCTTAAGCTGTTGATCCCAACCAGGAAACAGCACGGCTTCCAATTTACAACTTACAACTTGTTTACTAAGCTTTGTAAGTAGGATTCGTCCTCGCTACTTGAGGCCCACTGAAGCTGTCCCTCTTCATGCCGCTTTCTCCAAAAAAAAGAGCGATGTCTCCCCTTTCGGCCTGTTTTTTTTTGGGGAATGGACCGAAAGACAAGCACCTGGACGTCCCTCTTGGATCTCAGGCCACACCTGCGGTGGCGGCGGACCTGCAGCGGTCCCTCAGCTTGGGCTCCGCCGTGGAGCTGCGGGCGCCCACGGACCGGCCGAAGCTCTTCTACGCGGTGCGCCGGGGAACCAGGAAAAAACGAAAGAGCGAGGTCGTTTCTCGGGTCGGAGGGCGTGGCGGATGTTGCTTTTTTTTCCCCCCCTTGGAGCCCACGAGAAGTCGTAACTTGACTGCTATTGGGTTGGTTCTTTAGACTTTAAGTTTTTGGCAAATGAAGGGGTGTTCCACTAAACCCGCAAAAAGTTAAACTTTTTGCAGAGGGGTCAACAGCAACAAAGGTAAAGGGTCGGAGGGCGTGGCTGATATGTGTTTTTCTTGTTTTTCTTTGTCTTGGAGCCCCCGAAAAATGAGAAGCGAGCTTCGGTGTTCCAAGCCAGGAGGGCGTTTTTGCGATTTGTTTTGGTTGGAGAGCCCCGAAATGGGGTCCTTAGCCGTTGAAAACCACTGAGCTCTCTGGTGGAACATTTGGGTGTAGAATTTGGAGCACTGAAATGGCTTTGCAACGGCCCTTTTAAGACCAAGCAAAATAGACACATCTCCCCGAAAAAGAGAGACACACCGAGTTGAGTTCTTTGATGGGTAGGAACAGTCATGGACGCTGTCAGAGGGAATGTAGACCACTGCAATGGCGTTCAAAAGGCACCATGAGCATGGTCGTGAGCAATTTTGCCCATGCATCTGGGAGTTTTTCAAAAATGTGGTAGTTAAGAGAAGGGACAGACACAGAAGCCATATTCTTTTTTGGGGTGGGGGGGGGGGGCATTTTGAGAAGCCCCTATTGCTGTATTCTTGGAGGGGGTGGGCCCCTTTAAAAGTCAGTCTGCCAAAAAAGGCTGCCTTTTTCTGTGGGCACTGGGGTCCTGGGTAGGTTCAGATACTCTGCTGATTTGACACGTAGTGGAGGCTCTGCCCTTACTTCAGCATCTCCAACCATGGGACCCCCCCACCCATCAATCTAGCTTTGTTTATCCGGGGATGCAACCCCGGACATCCAGTTTTGGCACTTTTCCCGTGGAGGTAACGTTCCCTTCAACACCGGGGAACCCACTGGAGAAGTTTGGAACCTTATGCTTGGCCAAAATTATCCTGTATTTGAGGGTAATCATGGCAAACTCAACATGAAACAGAGTCAGAAGCATGTTTTGCGCGTACCCCAGATGTGGGTTAAGATGTTTTTCTTGGCGACACAAGATCCTAGTAGAATTAGGGCACGGCCCCCTAGAACCGCTGTCTTTTTTGAAGGCTAAATGGAACTGGGTACTAAATAGCAACTCGCTAGTATTCCCAGATCCCCTCTTTAGCACGCAGGGAAATTGTAAACGCTTCGCGTTGCCCGCCTCGGCCCAAGCCTAGTTTGAGGGAAGGGTCAGGAACACCGAAATCCAGTGTTGGGAAGGTCCGAATCCTACTGAAAGCTTGTGACCGCACCAGTTCGCCCGTGCTAGTTCGATGTTCGGAAGCCGTCCTGCTCGGAAGGTTTGAAATCCAAAACCAAGACTATCTCAGCTGCTCAGTGCCCTTGGAAAAAAAGACCTCTTTCTGGGGATGAGCATTCTTAGTGGGGCTTGGCCTCCATAAAAAGGGGAACAATAATTGGTGTCACTGAACAACCAAGACCAACTTTGGGTGTTTGGGCACCTCCATTTCACGTGGCTGGCGGCTTGCCATGACATACATTTCTTGCTCGGTTGCTCAGCCCAAGACAGGTACATGGTGGGAATACAAACCTCCATTTGCTTAAGTACCCCAGAAAAATATCCCCAATAGACACGCCAGCAGGCGGGCTGAGGGACTGGGCCTGAGGCTAGTCTCAGGCTGGCATACCTTGAGACGCCGAAGGGGCTGGACCTGCTGGATGACTTGGGGGGGCACGTCAGACAGGTAGCTGGCGTAGCTTGAGACCAGTCTCAGACACGTGAGACTGGTCGTTGGCCTGAGGCCAGTCTCAGGCACGTTAGACAAACCTGACCTTGGCACGCTGGGCTGAGCCTGCTGGTGGGCTGGGAGCTGGGGGCCGGCCCAGTGGCTGGCATGCTCTCAGATGCGCCGGGGCCTCGGCTGGGCAGGCTGGGCTGAGGTGGGTTGCTGGTTGGGCTGGGCCTGAAGCTAGTCTCAGCCACAAGGCTGCAAAGGCTGGGTGGGCTGGGCTGACAGGCCTGGCCAGCAGGCGGGTTGCTGGTTGGGCTGGGCCTGAGCCCAGTCGGGGAAAAGCGAAGATTCTCTTTGGAGAAGAGATCTGAGCGCCCTTTTGGGGCCGAGGCGAATTAAAACCAATATACCTTTCAAGTGCCTTATGGCTTTTTTTAGAACCAACACGCACAACAAAACACAAGAACCACAAAGCAAGCTCAGGGGCTTCGCTTCGGCGCTTTCCGGCTTTCGGCTCCGAGGCCATCGGCCCAAGGGATTTCCGGAAGTCCTGGAGCTGGTGGCGAAGACCGTCCAAGGCTTCCCACGAGGTACTCCGGGGCTGGTCTACTGCATCACCAGGCGATTCGGAGTGCGTGGGGCGAGAGAAAGAGAGAGATCTTAGGGTTTAGGCTTTTCATGTTGGCTCCCCGTCCCGGGACTTTGAGAACTTTTTGTTGAGTTGGACCTTTGGCAAAATTCCAAATCATTTCAGGAAGTGGGTTGACCGAACCGTCCTCCAAATTAATTAGGTGTGTCAACTCATGACCAAACAAGGTGAGCACATTTCCCCGACAACCTCCTTCGGGCATCCCCGAGGGAAGCCAAGCTCTGGCTGCAGGTGGATCCAAATTTAGATCCTGAAATCCCTATGCCCTATGAGGATTTCAAGCGAGTTTTAAGGAGACCAGAAAGCCAAGCAACCACCTCAGAGGTTTTGGGGTTATGTCCAAAGGACACCAAGCCATTCCGATCCGATTCTTTTCCGAAGGAACCCAACCGAAGGACACGAAGCCTCAATTTTTGAGAAGGGAAACCCCCCGAAAACGGTTCAACTGCACCTCTGGACACAGAACTTGAGGTTTTTTTGGTAGGGAAACCCAAAGGAAACTCTTCACGTCTTGTGACCCTAGCCTCTCCAAAGGACCTCAACCCAAAGGAAACCCAAAGGAGGCCAAAGGAAATGGGGTCGTCTGTGACTGAGGGGTCTGCTTGTTGGCATGGTGTTAGTTGGCTAATGAAGGAATAAACAACAAAAAACAAAAAACACACCACATTTTGTTCATGGAAACCCGAAGGAAACGATAAAACAAAAAAAAACGATCTCTCCACCTCTCCACCTCTCCACCTCTCCGGAAACCCGACGGCAGGAAGGAGGCGGAGGCGCTGCAGACGGCCCTGGCGCCGCAGGTGCCCTGCGCCTTTTACCACGGGGACCTGGACCCAATGGCCCGGCACAAGGCGAGGCTTCAGAGGGAGAGGTCGTTTAGACGTTTAGAGGAAACCGTGTTGGATGCTTGGAAACCAAAGGCTTTGGATGCAAACCAGTTGGGGGAGAGGGGCTCAAAAGTTGGTTCTTCCATTGGCTGAAATGAAGATTCTTCATTTTTCACGTGGTTTGAAAGGGAATCGATTGCACTACTGGACATATTGCATATTTTCGCCCGCATTTTTCCAGGGGGCGAAGAAGCAAATGGAGGTGGTGTTGGAGATAAGCTGGTTTATTTCAGAAACTTTCACATTGCGAAAGCTCACTTCATCAGCGTGCTGGTCCAAGCCCCGAACTCGAACCACTGAAGTACCAAGTTTGTTCCACACCAGCCACCAAGAGACTAACTCTTGGGCGCTGCTGACCATCTTGTCGGCCGCATGGCTTCACTAGAAGTGACGGACTCCTGAAGCAGTAGCCAGGGTATGGCCCGACTGACGGGGCCCTGCCACCCTGTAGGAAGCCTTTCTCGACGCAACATTCACAAACCTGCAGTTCAGTATCTTCGCCTTGGAGCAAAGACCACAATGAAATGCCCCGCTTGTTTGTTTTTTCTCTTTTTTTTTCTGTAGCTTGCCCTGATGTCTCCGACCCCGACTGTCACGATCTGGGCTGCATTGTTCTCCCTGGATTTTCCATGGCATGCCTCTTGGCTACAAGCCAGAGTTTATAGCTCTCCTCCCAAAGCAACACTGTGCACCTACAAAAAGGCCAGAACATGAGGGAATTCGCTGCAAAAGGTGGGGGCGTCTTAAATCCGGCGCCCGGCATCATGAAGTGAGGGGTGTACTCCGGGCTTCCCAGGAGCCAGGATTGGAATCTAACCGCCCGCGCAGGTTCATTCTGCCTGGATGGAGGGGGAGATCCACGTGGTGGTGGCGACCGTGGCCTTTGGCATGGGTATCAACAAGGCAAGCCTCACGAAAACCAACCGGGCCGAGACCTCACGCCTTAAATTCGAATATGTTGGATTATTGGCATGTTTTTGTCAGTTTCCGGCCGCCACTGGTTTTCTGCAACCATACCAATTCGTGTCACATGAACCACTCTCAAAGTATAGGGAAGGGCCCTCAAATGTCCCTTCCTCATTGTGACAACGTACTCTTCATTTTGACAACAAACCTCACACGCCAACTATAGGCTATAGGACAACTTGTTATAAATGCAAAAGGTTGAACTTGTCAAGACTACTTTCAAGAGTGCCGAACAATTTGCACTCGCAAGGCAGTAATTCAGCTTCCCCTTGATTGGTTTGGAGGTTTCGGAGTGGCGTCCCGTTTATGCTCTACAAGAATCAGGGGTTCAAATCGTAAACCACGCATCGAGAACACCACCTAAGGACTACCTGAGTAATCATTGATTTGGGTTGAGCACATGCAAAAACGGGGTCCTGTTCGCAGCCTGGGGTGGCCAGGGGGATGGGCTTGCATCGCCGGCCACTAAGTTAGGTTGTTTGTTTTTCTGCGCAATGCCTTTCGATGCCAAACTGTTGTTTGCTTGTTCTGCCTTGTTGAGAAAGACCATAGTCGCCTTGGAGCTCCCTCCATTGGAAGCTGTTTGGTGTGTGGCCTTGCTGGTTTCTGGCGGAAGCCGGCCAGGCAGATGTCCGCTTCGTGATCCATTGCGGGCTCCCAGCCTCTCTGCACCACTACTACCAGGATGCGCAAAATTGGGATGGGAATCCCACCTTTCAGAAGCTGGCTGGGCTTTGTGACCGAATCGCCCCGGAGAGACCTTTGCATTAAACCCACCAAAGGCCCTCCTGTCCACAAACATGCAACCCACCAGAGGGTTCCCTTATCTTCCAGGACCCCTCAGTCACGTTCCCTGATAGTCTGACAGGAGGCAGGCCGAGCGGGTCGCGACGGCAAGCCTGCTCTGTGCCTGCTGCTCTACCGGCCAAGCGACGTCACCCGGCACAGCGTCATGACGCTTGGAAGCGTCAGCCTTGTTGTTGCCTCAGATCGTTTATATAGTGGTTTGTGGCGGGCTGTGGCTGCATTTGGGGTATCAAGTGGCTTAGTGGCTCTGGGGCAGCTGTTTAGGGACCTGTTGTTTGCACGCCTCTCCAAGGAACTACTACAAGCCGGCATCCTTGCGAGAGCTGTACAGCGCCGCGATGTTTTGCCCTTTGGCTGATGGCGCGGGGCGAGAGAAGCTCTCTTCAATTAGTGGGTCAGTCAAGTGTTCTGGTGCTCCAAACGGCTACGAGTCTTGAAGAATTCTTAATGAGCATCAATTTTCACCTAAATGTTGTCTGCCAAAGAGTCAATTAAGAATCACTCACCTACATGGGTGGATCAAGAAAAACGACACCAGGGACGCGCCTGGGTCACTCAACCATCCCAGGCCAACGTAGGACCTGCCGCCGCGCACAGATCGCCCGGCACTTCGGCGAGGAGGCGCCCGCTTGCCCCAAGGCATGCGACGTCTGCGAGGCGGAGAAGGCGGGAGAAGGCGGGAGAAGGCGGAGGCGGAGAAGGGTGGAAGCTTGGGGCGCTTCCATTGGCTGAAATGAGTATGTTCTTATTTGCCCTTAAGTTGGTAGTGACTACTGAGTTATGTTTTTCTTGTCGGTTTTAAGGGAATCTATCACTACTGGAAATATGTGTTTTTTTCCAGGGGGGCGAAAGGAAATAGAAGGAAGGGGGGGTGCCATCTTGCTGGTCAGCAAATAAAACATTCCCCGCGACAGGTGGGTTCCCATGGTTTCAAAGTCGTGCAGGATTTCGTTCATCCACAGTATGACGCCCCTATCGGATACTATCGGTTTTGCAGATTGGTTTTTCTCGCATCGGTTTCGGTAGCCCTAATTGGTGTTTCCCTATAATATCCGCCGCTTGCTCAGGCAGGGGTTGATTTGTTCAGAGCACCCAAAAAGACCAAATGCTTAAAACAATGCCTTAAAACAGGTCAGGTTTAGCCTCCAAAAACGTAAAACAAACATGGCCAACTTCCTTTGAACTTGGCAACTGGGTAGCTGCACAGTGTGATGTGCTCCCTAGGCCTAAAGGCTGTATGTTCTCCATTCTTTCCCACTCTCTCCCTGAGTTTGTTTATTTTATACTGTTTCGGCAGAGCTTTTTGGTGGCAAAAACAAAATCCGACTTTTTTGACCAACTCTGTTAGTGAGTCTAAGATGTCAGGCATCCCAGAACAGCGGTGACTATTTGGAAGCCCCACTGCCAGGCACGAGATCTGCGAATTCCCATAGGATGCTTGCCAGATCCTCCCAGTCACCCGGAAAAGAACATGTGGGTTGAGTTTTGCGCGGACCAAAGCAATGCCAGGTGTTTTGGTGTGGGAGATCAGACCTCCATCCAGGACTCCCCTGAACATTTCCCAGCTATGCCTTAGCCGCCTTAGCAAATCCTTTGAGGCCGGCCTGGTTTGGCGAGCTCCATCCCGGGACTATCAGAAATCACCCGAACACAAAAAGTAACCTCAATGGTTCTGAGTTTCCACCAGGTCACGAACGAACATTCTATAAGGGGCGGTTTAAATCATTACACGGATTCTCCCATGCCATGATCATGATTATGGTTTTAAGCTACCCCACAACCCCATTTCAATTCTTAAGGTACCCGTCTTACATGCTCCCTACGGGGCCAGTTTTCAGGAAGAGCCGCCGTGCAAGAGGAGGCGCTCGGAAACCTCCTCGCAAGTTGCTTCCGGCGCCTGGCAGAAAGCGCTCGAGCTCGCGGTGGCGGCACGAGGCAGCGGGTTCCCCGTTGTTGTTGTTTCTTTGCTTTGTAGCTGGAACTACAACAAATCCTCTAGCACATGCAGATATGTGAGGCTATTTGATCATAGATAATATACAGTATACATATATATATATATATATGGCATTATGGCTATGCATCAGCGCTGGAATAAAACAGTCTCACAATTGATCGGGACCGAGTATTAAGCTTTAGATCCCTCGCTAAGTACGGAAACTCAAGAGGTGATGATTGAATGTGCTGAACAGGTAAATGTAAGGAACTATGCCATTGGGGATTTGGGAATGTTGGCTTGGAGCTTTGGAGGTACCATCCCATTTGGCTTCCAAATGAAAGCTGGGGGTTCAATTTGCAAGCCACCAATTGCCACCACCAACTCTGGTTTGGCTGAGGTAAGCAACACATAGCGAGGGGCGCCATGAGAAGGTCATGTCCTCGCTTAGTCCTCGGCCCTTAGTAGTCACTATTAGTCACTTATAGAGCCGCTATTAGGATTTGATGCCTGGCCTTATGGAACCGGCTCACAGGGCTTAAAGACTAGTTAAGGGCTGGGTCTGAATCATAGGCTGCTTTAATCCAAGATGTAAAACGAGGTACCCCTTCATGTAGTCGCCACATAGAGGCTGCAGATCCCATCTTCCCAAAGGATGTGGAGGTCTTTCAGTCGCAGGCAAGGAGGAGCTGTTCACACTGACCAAGCTCAGCGACAAGCTGCAGAAAGCCTGCAAGTGGAAAGGGGATGCTGCCGCGGATGACGCCATGCATTTTGGCCTTTTTTTGAGTGCTTCCAGAAGCAAGACATAGAGTAGTAGGCAACTGTGGTGGGTTTCCGTGTTCTGTTGTTGGTGTTCTTGATGTTTGTGTGTGCTTGTGTTTGCTCGCATGTGGTTTGATTGTATTTGTTGTTCCTGGTTTGTTGTTCTGTGTTTGCAATTGTTTGTATGTTGGCATCCTTCTTGTTGCTTCTGCTTGTTTCGTCTTCCTTTAGGGTTGGCTTGCTGAATCCTATTTGTAGGCTGGGTTCTCCTACTTCCCAGAGCGGCAAGGAACATTCGCTTCCACTTTCTTACAACCATCGGTGCATTTGCCCCGTTGGTTTTGAAGGACATCTATCACTACTCACAACATCATGTATTTTTCCCAGAGGACTAAGGCAAATGGACATTCTCTTGTTTGCCGGCCTGCGAGTTTGTGAAAGGTATGTGGTGATGTCCCTGCTGGGAACGGGCTATTTGCGCGAGGAGTCCCGCTTTTTCTTCCATAGGGCCCAGCCGTTTTCGTTGCCCCGCCAACTCTAGGTGGTCAAATTTCCATTTGGGGCCGTGTTTTTTGAGCATACATTGATGTTGGGGATTGGGTCCGTTTTGATGTATTCCCATCTTCCTTGTGGCAGATGGTAGGCGTTGCCGCTTGCCTGATGTTTCCCAGTACGGATTAGGATTAGTTGGGTCCTGGTTTGTTCATAGCCCAGACATCAGGTTTTGGAGGTCAAACAGGTGGATTCACAAAGCGAGATCCCCCCCAACTCTTACATGAACAACTCATCGGGTGACCTCCATGGCATCCACAGTTCGATGCTTGGAGCGACTAATTTCCTCAGGCATGTGTTCCCTGAACTACTCCTTTCCAAACTGACACAGTTGTTTAGGACCGATCTTCAACAGAGACTTCTCTAAAACTGCAAGGGAGTAGATCTACAAGCTAATGGAGATTTGGGAGCCAAGGACCCAGGGATACTAAAAACCTCCTATTAACCTAAAGAGTCAAGTACTCCATCGTTGGCTGTGGGACCCCATAGCGGTGGCGGGTAGGAGGGGTGGATAAAGAGGAGCCCTCGGGAACCTGAGGATTGCTCAGGCTTAGCTGCCCTCTTAGCAACGCGCTGTACAAGAGCGACATCTCTTACATCTCGAGACGTGATCTGATCACCGAACTCGTGTCCAAACGACATCCCGAAAGTTGGCCCTGGCGATGGCGGCAAGCCGTGCGAGGAGTTCCGGCACTCTCCCTACGCGACCAACGCGTACCTGGTGGCCACGGAACGCGCAGACAAGGCCGTGAGCGGCGAGGTGTCGCAGGCGCCAAGACGTTTGGCTTATCCGGAGGGGCCCAACCGGAAGGAACCCCCCCCCAAAGAAAGAAACAAGTGGCGCCGAACTTGGCGTGGGGCATATAGCTACTGGTGTATCAGTACAGATATTTGCTCTCCAAAAGAACCAGGCCATGTACTTACTCGAGCCGCATTAAAATTGAGATGGCAAATGACCAGAAGTGGCGTTTGCTCAATACTCCCGGAGGCAAAAACAAACGCAAAGGCTTGGCAGTGCTTGGCAGCAGCCTTCAATTGGTCTCGTTTGGCCCCTGGGTTTTGGGGAGCTAGGAGGCCCTAACTGTTGGCTATCCTTCGAGTGGTACACCCAAGGTTCGGACTCTGACCAATCTACTCACGTCGATGGCGGCGCTAAATAACAGTCGATGGTTTCGCGCCTTGGAATTCGGAGTGGAAGTCCCTCGCTTCATTTTGAAGAGCCCATTAGGCGACCGGCTGAGTCTACTTGGCACCACAGGCTTCAACCGGCCCAATTGCAGGAGGCGGTGGATCTTGGGACGCCCAGCGCGTTGCTGCGCAGTGCTGCAGCCTGGCCTCAGATGGGCGAAATCGCAGGGAGTTTGCAGTGGGGTGCAACGTGTATTGCATTGAAGGATACATTTAGAGCCACTTGACACATCACCCAAATGCCGGCAGACTTACCTTCTAAAGCAGGTTTTGCATGTTTAGCTATGGATCCTTTAAGAAATCCTCTTCCAACCATCATGGAATTGAAAGATCGAAGGGTTTTGGAAGATCCTGGAAAAGGCCCCAAATGTCCACTTTGATGGTTAAAGAAGGTAGAAGTTTCCCGGCACCCCCCTAGTTGGGGATCCCCGAGGGATCAAAGGAGGGATCCAGCCGTCAAATCCTCCCAACATCGACATGGAACCTAAAAGGGGGGTCCCCGAAATGGAGTGTCCTGTAGAAATTGTGGGTTCCATGTCAATCTGCAGGGAAGCTGGGTGCTACACAGCGCCACGGCCCAGAGTTTCAAGTGTCTCCAAATCGATCAGCTCTTTGCACAGGTCTTCCTCTGTGCCCGCAAAGTCAACAACGTTCCTAGAGGAAACTTTTATTTGGGCCCACATAGGTGTTGGCTGGAACAGTTGGCATGCAGAAGGCCCCAATCTCCAAACCAGTTGGGTGTCCATGACTAGGGTCTCACAATGCACGCAGAACTGTCATGCCATTCAAGCTGACACCCGTTTGGTAGAAAGGAAGCCCAGAGGGATTTCTCATTTCTTCAGCTTTTCCAGATTCTCTACATTGGGAGTGTCTTTCTTTGAGGGATCCTTGTTGGGTGGGTTCAAAGGGACACCAAACGGAAACCGCCGGTTTTCGTCCCCCTGAGACGAGCGATCCAAGGCCCCGGCCCCTGCCATGCCGAGTGGCGGCCAGACTCGACCGCAGCACCTGCAGAAGCTACGGGCCAAGCTGGCGAGGCGGGGGTTGATCCCACCCCGGGCGATGAGAGATCAAAAGGAGGAGGCTCACTCCCGTATTCCAGGGTTTGTGTTGCATCAATACGTAGACTTTGTAGGTTTGTACTACTCAGATTCATAGAGCAGTTTCATGATCATCCATGTGTAAAACAAGTATCCCTCAAAGGTGCGATTGATGGACTTCCCCTCGTGGTTTGAGGCAGGCCCAGCTGCCGGCGCAGTTCATCCTCTCGGACGAGGAGCTCGCCCAGGTGGCGAAGGCCCAAAGTATTTCCCCACTCTGCGCCGCCAAGCGCGGATGCCCAAGCGTGGGCGGGCGCTTCGGGGGTCTTCCCGGAGCCTAGGGCTATGGGGGGCCTATCCCTGCCTAGAAGGACAAGCCCCCCAAGAGGGCTTTGAGATGTGCCAGCGTACCAGTTCTTCGGCCCAACTCGAATTGTTTTTGGTTTCAGATATCACCTTTTGGGCCCATAGCTGAAAATGCAGGAATTCTTCCCAGGGATGCGGCTGTTTTGAGCGTTGCCCATAAGTCACCAACATGTGGATTGTCAAAGAACGATGGGTCAGGGCCTTTGGCTTGGTCAAAATTCCTTTGTCCACGCAGCTGAACAAATAATAACAACCCTTTCCTGGGGTCGGGGTCCTTAGGGAGCCAAAGGGGGGAGACTTAAAGTCCAGAGAGCGAAAGAGCCACATGAAGCCGAGCATTGCTTCGTATCCTTCCTTTTTTCCCAAGAAGCCGGACAATAATGGAAGATGGGGGTGGAGGGCTATGGGGTTTCCCTGAAACCAAATTACAGGATGCCCCAAGGGTTTGGAGATGTTTGGAGGGACCCCGGATCAAAGAACATTCCCGTCCACAAGATCCTTATGCGGGATGGTTTAGAGATTCTGGATCTGGATTAAGTTTCCCCCTCCTTGTTGAACAACACGAGTTTGGGGAGCTGGGGGGCTTTGGTCTGCCTGCGCGACGGGGGCGATAGCAGATGGGTCCATAAATGCGGCTACATGAGGGGTTCTCAAAAGTACTTTCAGGGTGTTTCCCTTTAAACCACGGAGGGACATGTTGAGGATGTCACTTCAATGTAGCCAGCAAATGTTGCAGGGCAGATCAAAGGGAACATCCCAGTTTAGGGATCTTGACACCACAACGCCAGATATTTCCAGATATTGAATCTGAATAAGCTCGGTAGTTTCAGGAATGCGCGGAAGTTGGAGCATGAGTTGGGTGCATTGTCGGGTGCTGTTCGGCAACATTTGAGGGATTTGAAGGCGGCTTCCCATAAACCTCCTGCCTGGGCAACTTCTCAACTGTTGGGGAATGCTACCATGAACATCTATTTTCAGGGGTGTTTGTTCGGTCAAAGTCGGACACTCGGTTTCCACTTGCGGACTTTGCCCAGCCAGGGAGCTAGTTTTCACAATCGTGGATGCGCTGTCAAGCAGGTTGCGTTGCACATCGTTGCACCAACATTTCTTGGTGCATATATTCCACAGAGAGAGAGAGAGAGAGAGTGTGTGTGTGTTGAGGGTACGTTGTTTGGTTGTTGTAAGGGGACACAAAGAGCAACTAAAATGTTTTGTCTCTTGCTTTGGGACACACATTGTTTTCAATCGACAGTCACGCATCTGGGAACTGTCCTACATTGGGATGTGGACTCAACCACAGGAGGTTGTTATGTTTCCGGCAGGCAAGGGGCATGCGCGCTAGAGAGCCTGGTTTGTTTGATGCGAAGTCGTACGCAATGTTCCGTCATCCGATGGAAAGCTTTAGTTTACAGCCGCAGAATCATGTCGTGAACAGACTGAGCTTGCCTAGGCCAACGACCCATGGTCAATTCAATGGCGATGACGGAGCTGTGGCAGATACGTGTTGTATTATCCTGGTGACTCGTTTGAAGAGAGTCAAGCACGAAGATCGTATACCTCCCTATGTTTGTGCATATATCTTTACACTTGTCCATTTCTTGGGAAAATCCGCTGAACACGCTTCTTGAGGCGCAGGCTCTATGGTGACGCGGTGCTCGCTTGCCTGCGAGAGGAAGAAACAACGTGGTGACTTGCGCGCGCTCGGCAGCTTGCTGATTTGCGGGAAATGAGGCAAACAAGCCCATGCCACTTGTTGTTTCCTTTGAGGGGATCCCTAATTGGGCTATTCCCAACATGCGGGTGATTCCCTACAAAAACACGGGCCCATAGCCCTTCCTCCCCAAAGCTCGAAACAAACCCTTGAGTAGAACTCCAGAAAAGGTTTGATAAGAGCCCCGCGCTCCTGTAGCGATGGGGCTTTTGGTTTCCTCTCTAGTCATAGTATTGTTGGGCGTAATTAATTCAGGGGGCGTAGCCTGTTGGCTTCAGACTTCATAGTGGGGGCGTCTAAAGCCAAAGATTTTTGGGTTTCTCAGGCTTCTTGTACCATGGCCAAAAGACCGGTTCTTCACTCCCTGAATTCCTAAGCTTTTTAAAGTTCGCGAAGACCATGTCAGTAGTAAACAAGAAGTGTGCCCCTGTTTGGCGTTCAATTTCATTTTACTGCTTGTTTTTTGGCGTCATCTCATCCTCGGCGAGTTACTGCAATTAGTTTCAGAAGAATGGCTGAAGGTGCTTCCCTGACGTGGGGTGATTACTCATGTGTGCCATGGTCAAAACACCCTTTTACCTGGCGTGGGGGGTTGGATGGTTATGGACCCCTGAGACATTTTGATCATTCTTGTTCCCAAGAGAGCCAATTCCACCGATCTGGGGCCAGGGGGAACAAACACCGTGATGAAGGTACTCAAATGTTGATAGAGTTTGCAGAACCATGGTTTGAGAGTTTAGTTTCACTTTCAACCGCCATGAAAATAGCAAGGCAGTTGCGGCGATGGCTCAACCTTTGGTATCGTAGAAAGCGCTGTTCTACCAAGCATTTGGTTGCAACGGACGGCCACAAGAACAGCAACCAGTTTGGGGTCCACGTCCTAAGACCAGCCATATTGGTTGCTTTGACATTTTGGGGTTGCGCCTACCAACTCGTTGGATCGATGCTGAGACGTGTGATCTTCCCTCACTTGGTCCACCAGACGTTTTTGACATGAAGATTTGCAGGAGACTAGCCTTGCTCACTGAAAGCGGCAAACATGTTCACGTTGCTGAGTAAGGATTTTTCGCCACCGCCTAGTCAATATGGGGTGTCAGTCTTTCTTGTCAGATTAACCCGTCTGTCTTTGGGTTTCCTTGATGGGCAAATCGAATGTATAACCAGGAAGCTTTCCAGTTCGGTGACGGACTGTTGGCGGATGGGGCTCCAAAAGATGTTCCTACCCTGGACTTGCTTCCTTTGGGTTTTTTTTTGGATCAGAACCAGTCTCCTGCAGCACGCATGTTAGCTTCAGCCCAAAACTTCGGCAACATCCCACAGGTGGGTGCTAGTCTAGCGTGAAGGCATCGAGGGATAGAAGATTCATGTTGAGCAAGAATCCCTATGTTTAATTTTCGCCGCGCTAAGGCGGCCAGTCAGCTCACTTGTGCTGGGCAGCGCCATTTTGCGTGGCCTGGCAGAACTTTTTGCGCCGGTGTCACTGTGGACGGCAGACATATACGTCAAATTTACTCATTCATGTAAACGGATGGAGGTCCACATCCAAAGGACATTATATCAGAAATGTTTGGATCAGATGGGTCTCAAACCAGGAAGGTTTTGAGAAAGTTTCTGAGAGAAACGGGGAAAGCGAGAGAAAATAGCGGACGTTCTCATGGTGGTAAACATGAATACCATACAAAACCCGGCTTTGTCGAAACTACCTTTGAAAAAGTGTGTGTAAAAAGTAGGGTCAAAACATAAGCAGCGTATATCCTCGCTGGGCCGTGGAAAGTCACCCTTTCTATGCTACAATCACTCACCGTGGACATTAGGTGTGACCATTCTTGTGGAAATCGACAAGTTTCTGGGCCTTTCGAGCCACTCGGTTTGGGTAATTCCCAGCGCTTTGACGGTGTGGAATTGGGCGTCATGGTGGACACGAGGTAAGCCACCCGTCGGAAACTTTGATGCGAGCCCTTGCGCATGCAATCACGCGCGGCAGTGCCGGAAAATCTAGCTGCTGAATATTCAACCAGTCCAAGTCCAGGTTTGATGCTATCAGTCAATTGACCCCTCTCTGGCATAAATCCCCTACAGGTTCTCAAAATGAAGTTCCTTCCATTTTTTCTGAGCACGATCCATAGCAGCCCTGTGTTTGATCTACCCCCCAAACTAAAGAAAGGTGATGGGCATTTGATTTTCAAGACCCATGGATCGGCCCCAGTTTCGAGTGTTGCGAAACAGGGGGGGGGGCCTTTGGTTTCGGCGGCTCACGCCAGGTTGTCTGGCAAGAGGCGAGCAGGGAACTTTGGCAGACTAAGACAGCCTGGGCCTTGGTGGGGCTGGAGATCAGAGATGCCCTCGGGGTCCCTACATTTTGGGCAAGGCTGATGGTTTTTAAAGGAAACTCCGGGAACCCGGACGCTTCTGTCCCAGGAACCGCTTGGGCTCTGTTTGAGAGGGGTTAATAGTTGGCTAGACTTTAAAAGGTTGCTTGAAGTTCCAGGAGCTTCCTTTGCAAAACAAAGGCACTGTTTGCCGCTGAAAATGAGGGAATCAAGCCAGCTTTGGTCTGTGATTTCTGGCTCCCCACATCCTTAGACAGTCTCTAGGCTGTTTGTTAGACTTGTTCAATGGTTTTCTAGACCTCCGGATATTGTCCAGGTGTCCTTAGACTTTTCTGGATTCCCGATTCTTAGCGGCTCGAAGTTGGAATGCCTTGAGTGCATTCCACTCACTATGGTAACCCAACAATCATGGAGCTGACAGATTGGAGGGTGTTGGAAGATCTTGGAAAAGGCCCCAACTGTCCACGTTGATGTCCCACTAATTGGGGATTTTGCAGGGATCAAAGGAGGGATCCAGCCAGCAAATCCTCCCGAGGATGCTCCGCGTCAACATGGAACCCACAAGGGAAACGGAGCGAAGTTGTGGGTTCTATGTCAATCTGCAGGGGAGCTGGGTGCTGCACAGTGCCATGGTCCATAGTGCATTTTTTTGTCCAAAAGGAAGCCACGGACTGGAGCCCCGCAGAGTTTTTGGAAGCGCCACGCAAGGTCTGGAAATTACTCTGCACGTGAGAGGCCACACCTGATGGCCGGTCGGGTGCAATTCATTTCTCTCGGCATTCGGATTTCTTTGTTCAGCGTTGGCTGATGGGCTGTTCCGCTTTTTGGTTTTGACCTATAGAGGCGATGGGGAGGTTTAAGGGATACTTGTTTGAGCCACAGGATGCCTGAGGGGAGATGCCTCCGGACCATACAGCATGAGTCTGTTCTGGAGCCAGCCTTGCTTTGCTCAGCGGCTACAGGCCAGAGCACTTTTGAGAAGCTGTACTCTAAGCACCCCTTTACAGGCGGTGGTCTAGGCCACCGCGTCTTTCACCAACAACTCCGAGTTTGCGAGAAGCTTCGTGGTGCAAGCCATTCAGATTTGCACCCGGCACACAGCAAATATCGGGATCGCTGCGTGAACTCCGGAGTTGCGTCCTATATCTGGCAATGCTGGGCCAGTTACCATTAATGGCCTCATGCCGAAAGTGCCCCCCAGGGGTGCGAATCCAAGAAAGCAACACGCATCAATACACCAAGCACCAGGCACCAGGCACCAAACATTCTCATTCGCCCCCATGGACTGCGGCATTTGTGGAGGCATCCATGTTCGCCCGGGAAGCCTCTTCTAGCTCGTGCTGGGGCCGTATCACTCGGATCTTCTCGCTATTGCGGCGGAAGGCCACGCTTCACCTCGGACGCCAGAGCAACCCCTTGGGCTTTCGAAAAGCGACGCGAGACGCGGGGTGTCTTTGGCATATTTTGGCATTCTCACTTTGGCTGAAAATGACCCTGGTTCCGATGTTCTTATCAGTTACGAGGTCACGTAGCGCAGTAGAGATTAGTTTTATTTACATGTCGGCGGAAAAGACAGAAATGCTACGATAATTGCGGGAAGTTGGGAAGCCATGCAACGGCAACACTGAAAAATTGAGGGGGAAAAGCGAAATCGTAAGGTTGCAGCACTTGGGGTTGTTCTGTTCACCCCACCTAGGTTCAGGTACCCCCGGGTACCCCTGTTTGCTGGTTCGCATTGGTTGGATTTGGGTTTCAACCCTTGGTCGTGGATCCACGCAACACCTCCAAGCCACCAGGCTCTAAACGGGCGATGGGCGGTGGGGCGGAGGTGTTGGCTCAGCCCTGGATGCATGCACGGCTCAAGCTGTGACGTCCATCGGGCCGGCCGGGAGGCTGGATGGGCTTGCGGCCTGACGTCCATCCCCAACTTACGGCCTGATTTCCTGAATTTCCTTTTGGTGTTGAGCTTTCAGGACCATGTTGGCGGCAACCACCAAGTTTGCTTTTGCCCAAGTGAGTAATGAAATTGGGGGAGGTGTGAGCTGTGGAGATCTCCATTAGTTCAACTCTGCATGGAACGGACATGGATTTGAGGAAGCCGGGTAGAAAAGTAAAGGCACAGATGGTACGTTGCGCGATGGAGGGTGAACGAGTTTCAGGCATGGTAGTTTGTGGATATGCGCTTGTTGAGTCAGTTCAAGAGCATCATTTGTTGATTGCCAAATTTGGGTCTGGTAGGGTTGCATTTACAGTAAACATAGAATTGTTAATGTTGCACCTGCTATCGGTAGTCTGAATTATGTCAAGTTTCCCCGGCTCAAACACGACCCCCCCCCCCCACTGTTTCGGTACCATGATTTATGTCAAGTTCGAACCCCACAAATCCTGTTGAAACAAATCTGATTCAAAATGCGCAATATGGGCAACTGATTTCTCCTCTCAGCTTCCTGGCTCAGTCCCAGTAGTGAAACTCTGCAAATCTTTGGTTGCTCAACCTGAGACGCTGTGGGCCTCAGCCTTTGTGGCCTTAAACTTAGCAAGGGACCAGGCCAAGACCTGAGCCTAAGAATTCCTGATTTGATCCTAAGCCCCAACCATCAAAATTCTTTACATTAAACCCATCCAAAAACAAGCCCCAAACAGTCCTGCAAAGGGGGTTGCCCACAAGGCGGCCTGACCCTCTTTAAGGGGCACTGTTTGGGTACCATGTTTAATGTCCATTCTTAGGGGTGGGTGGGCTAGAAATCCAAAAGGAAGTGCTGGCAATACTAAACTAAGTAGTGGCAGCCCAAAAGGAAGTGCTGGCAATACTAAACCAAGTAGTGGCAACCCAACAGGAAGGGTCGGCAATACTAAACCAAGTAGTGGCAGCCCAACAGGAAGTGCTGGCAATACTAAACCAAGTAGTGGCAGCCCAAAAGGAAGTGCTGGTAATACTAAATTAAGTAGTGGCACTACTAAAGCAACACTTAAGTCATCCAAGCTCCCTGCCAAATCCTTTTTCAGGTTCCCCAGGACTGTTTTGACTGTTTCAGGGGAGGGGGGGGGGCACAGTAAACAAGGTCCAACATTACCTGCATCTGATTTCCCTCTACCACTAAAAACGGAAAAGCGCCACTTTGCTCCCACTGGATACACTTGTGGCAAGTTCTGAAAGTAAAGGGTTGGGCCAAATTAAAGGCTCAAACACGGTGCTACGAGCGTTTGTTCAAGCCCCAAGCCCTTCTCACTTCCAGGCCAACCAATTCCGAGTTGAGACCAGTGAAGTCCCAGGCCCCGCTTAGCACGAGGCTAGCACAATTTCTAGGACAACAGACATGGATCCTTTTGCGCCAGAAGGACAGAAGGAACGGGGACCTGCACATTTTGCAGCTGGCAAGAGGACGTCAAAAGCAATGCTTGACTGCCCGTTGCCGGAGCATTCGCATACCTCGCGGCGAGAAGCCCAACCCACGCAGGGCTTTGAAAGGAAGACCGGAAACTCCAACATTCTGAGTAACATCCAAGTGAACAATCAGGTGTCAAACGCGTGAAGCCCACATATCGCTTTTCAAGCATCCATTTGGGCATCCCCAGTTGGTCAATGGCACCTGGGTCCCTTCAAGAATTGGCAACCACCTTCACCACCTGAGTCGTTTTGTAGAGCAGGTGCAGCACAAATTGGACGTATCCTTCGAAGAACCCAGCGTTTCCGCCTGTCGGGTCACAGATTGCCCCGCCACTGGAGTGCTGAATGACAATTGCTTTTCCTCAATGGAAGTCAAAACAGAGAGAGCCCCCTTAGACATATTACGTGATTTTGACACAAGCCCAACATGTTGTAGACCCCCATATTCAACCCATTCCACCCCTCAGATCTCTGGCGCAATTTGCATGAACGCCCTGGCAGGCCATCTGGTCGATCCCAATGGCTTCGGCCTTGGAATGCCTGGGGAGGAGCGTCCGGATGTTGAATAGGGGCTGAACGACCACCAATGCATTTGCATCATCATGATTAAAATATATTAAAATTGGCTCTAAGGTAGCCCGCCGCATTCTAATTTTACTTTGCCTTATATACATGTGTATGTATAGATTGAGCTTATGCAAGGTGGAGCCGTTACACATAGATGAGTTCAGCTTGCTTGCGAGGAATGAGTTTTAGCTTGTGAAGTATAAGGGCGTCGTATGCTAAATGGGCCTACGGGCTTGCAGGCCTGACTCGTCTATGAGGCCGCTGAAGCCACGTTGTACTTGACCCCTACCATCCGACTCGTGGTTTTCTCACTCCCTGAGTTCCGTTTTGGACTTGAGTCACTTCTTGGGTTTGGACCATCTTGGTGGCCAACAAACAGTTTGCACTCTTTCTGGCCCATCAACTCGGGAAGTGAGTTTCCTTTGACCGTTGAAGTTTGTTCCCTACTGAGAAGCAAGATGATTGTGTGTCCAGTTGCAAGTGGGCAACCCGGATTGATTGCTCTTTCTTTGACTCATGGCATTCTTCCAGGTCCCTTTTCTGGAACATAGCATTTTCTGTGAGACCAAATGAGACTTTCGCGCGGGGAACCAGTTTTCCCTCAGAGTTTCAGGCGATTATAAACAATTGCTTCAATCGCACTGTTGTGTCAACTCGGTCCTGTTGCAGAAAGTTGGTTGCCAATTAGATTGAGTTGTTTTTTTTTTAGTAGGGTTCTGTTGTCAAGTTTAGCACGTATGGAACCCTGCGATGTCCGGTTTCTCTCGCCGTCCGGCTGAATTGGCGACCGCCTCACGTACCTTTCGTCTCACTAACGCAGCACCTGCAGGACTTTATACGTTTTGGGAAGACCATTTTGGTGGCAAACAGTCCATGCAGACATGTTTTGGCCCATCCACTCAGGAAGTGAGGGGAGGGTGCCTGGAAGACTGATTTCCTCTTGAAGGGACCCCCTGCAAGATTCCATGGCAGCAGCCAGTGCAATGGGAACCCCAGATGAATAAACCCATCCAACCAATGGGGGTGTGTTATTACCTACGAAAGTGAAGGATTTGTAAAAGGGGGCACCCCCATCAATCAAGCAGGGAGGGAATCCAGCGTTAGCGTTAGTATGTTGCCTCTGGTTTGCTCTCACATACCTCTGGTCTCAAGAAGGCCCCCCAAGAGGGCATAATACAGGGCTGAATAATTCAATATACTATATAAGAGTATCTTGCTATGGTCATAGCTTAATTTGTGGTTTGTGGTGCCCCACAACCCCGTTCTAACTATTTAGGCCTGTACTGTACAGTAATTACCTCTCACATGACCACTTCGCCCCTTGACCCTCAGTATCCCCTAGTTCCTCAGGACTCGGGATGGTTTTTCTTTGGAACCAAGGAAGCCGAAGCCCACTTTGGGGGATCCCCATTTGAGACAAGCCCCTTTTCTCTTTTAGGTCGGTGGTTTTGAGGGGGAGCCCGTTTTTCAACGGACGATTTTTGCAGGTTCTGATCGCCGCAGGACAATCATAGGCTTATCCGTGTGGAACTCATTCGGTCCCATTTAACGGGCCCAGTCTATTTCTGCCACCTCAGCTCAGGCAGACGAGTCGGTGGCCGAGGCGAGGTGGGACCTTCAGTCAGCGGGACAATTAGACTCTTTTCCGGTGGGAATCTGCAAGATGTTTCAAGAGTCGCTAGCAAAGATCAAACATCCAATTTTCCGGCTTGTAAATTTGGAACTAGTGATTGTTCCAGCCAACATGTGTTCTTTTTTTGCAAAGAAACAACTCAGGAAGTCCAAAGATCTGCAGTATGAACACTGTGCGAGCCGGCTCGGGATCCCTTTCTTGTTGAACTTAAATGCGTGGCAGCCAGGCTTTTTGATGTCCAGTGCTATGCAAAGTAAACTACTCATGCGGAATGGTAGCGTGAGCGGAAGCCAGAGATACTTTTGCTGTGGCAAATGCTTAAAAGCCCGACAGTGGGATAGCGCCAAGGGCCTCGGGGCACAACCAAAAGACAGCACGATTGGAGCCCGATTTGTCATTTTCCCACCTAATGTCTGAGCTACACTGCTTCCACTTGGCTGAGGGGCAGTTCTGCAGTGCTTCCCGTGTGAATCATGTGAAACGTGGTAGAAGTCCCTGGATACCTACTGTGGATGGACAAAATCCTGCAGCACTTGGTTGGTGGTTGGACTGCAGTATTCATAGGGTTTCACCCTTGGCAACTGTGTACATCCACGGCATGGCGGCTTGCCAAGCACTGGCTTCCATTTGCATCAGAATATTTGTTGTTTTCCCTTGTTGGTTGTGAAGGGAGTCTATCACCACCGGAAATATGGTTTATGTTTCCAGGGGGCTTCAGCAAATGGAAGCTGGCTGGCCCACTTTGCGGTCTCACGATTCAAGCCAGCAGCCTCAGGACAGCGCCGAGCGCCTGCATCAGGAGCTTTCAGGCATGGTTTGCTTGAAGTTCACGTGCGTTGATGATGTCACCTTCAGATTAATCCGGACCAATGTGCAATTCACTCATTTCTGGGAGGTTCCTTTGACGAGTCTTAGTATCAGTTTGCCGGCCTTGGTTGAGTGAGTTGTCCAGGCAAACCCTGGTGCCTTCAGTCTGATCCGCGGATGCCAAAAAGACCCTGGTGGGCTTGGTTTTTCCTGGTTCACCGGCGTCAGGCGTGACGCCTGAGGGCAGCCCAGGGTGCCATTGCCTGGAGTTCGACTCCTGGTGGTGCCCTGCCCGCACGTTGGACATAGACGTCTCCTGGTTCAAACGGACATAAACGGACTCAACGGCCGGCCTTTGGACGTCTTTACCCTGTGCAAGCTGCTATGGAACCCACCAGAGGGTCCCTTTCAAAGGAGACAGTCTTCCAGGACGCCTCGGTCAGGTTCGATGCTGATGGATCAATGGGAGGGTACATGATGGTACATGTTTGTTTGCAATGCATTCCAGAAGTCTGGAATGCCAGGAGTTGACAGTGACTCGCATTGAGAGCACGCGTTTCGCTTCGGCAGTCTATTTGGATACCTTTTGGGTAGGGAGTCCACCCATTCCATTTAGGGCACTATAGAGCTATGTGCTTTCTTTGGGGGGCGCACGGACACGCCAACCATTCATTCCACTTGAACAGGGAGAAACGTGTGTTTTGGACCAGTTTGGGTCATAATTTACCGCGGAGGCACGTAGTTTGTGATTCCCTTAAACCCAAGTTGACACCGACCATGCTTGACTTTTTTCATGGGGACCAACCGGAGGTGGCTGATGAGCCCTGTGAGTGCAAAGTGGTGGGATTGACCTGAGGAGAATGGCATTGCCTATTGCGCGAAACCCAAACCTGCCTCATTCTTATGGAATGTATCCCCAGCCTTACACATGGAGTTTGGGGAGGGCCGTTCCTTCAAATTCCATGTATCGTTCCGCTGGTTGAGAAATCCAATCAAATCTCAACAAGTGAGAGCGTGCTCTCCGAGGGTCAAACCGAGCTTGAGTCGGGTTCCCTTATTTCCAGCTGTATTTTGCGAGTTCTTTTGATTTGCCGGCCAGATGAACTCCAGGAGTCGTTCCTTGACCTAGTTTCACGTGGTCGGAGTAGGTGTTCCTGCCAGTGCCTCTGAAGTATGCAGAAGTGGCCACGTTCCCCTGATAGCCCGCGAGAGGAAATCCAGCGATGCAAGGCCTGTCTGAACCCCACGTTGTTCGAATTCCAGTAGGGCGCCTTTGTTGAGGCTCGGCAACCTATTCTTTGAATTTCAAAGGGATAAAGAAACAGCGCCAATTTTGAGGGCCTAGCTTGACGCAAACAAACCCTTGTGAAGTTTATTCTAGTGACAAATCTGGACTTGTTCCTACCAAAATCGATCGGAATAGAGATCACGGAATCCAACCTGTTTGCAACCAAACGAGGCACTCCTAAAGCCAATGGTGTGCGGAAAATAACCAAACCTCTGGCTAGACAGGAAGCAGTCCGTTAGAAATTTATACCCATTTGGGAAGAACCCAAACAGGTCTTGGAGGTCGCGGCCGCATCGCATGCTTGAATCCTTGTTTTAGCAGGGGAAGTTCGCTGTTCATGACCTTCGGAGGTGAATGCATGGCTTACAATCCGATTAAGCTTAGCCATTTGTTCAGTGGTAGTTGGTTTTTGTTCTTTTCTTTTTGTTCTCACTGGACACTGGACTACTGGGCTAAGGTACCTCTCAGAGTCATTTGTTTGCGAGCGTGACCTCGGCCGAGATCCGCCCAGGAATGAGGGCAAGCAGCGACGATTCGTTTACATCAGGCCGGGCCAGTTTTTTACATCAGACCCTTTGAAAGACCCAATTGAACGAATCCGAGTCTCTGAGCACTGAGTGCGCGACCTTTAGGGAGTTTGGGGGTGGCCAAATAAAAAAGCACAGCAACAACTTGTGTGTGTATTGGGGAAGCAGGGGTTCAGTTTGTGGAGATCTTTGTGCACTTTTCCGCTTCATCGTTGGGGCCCCCCACCTGCCGCTTTAGGTAGGGGACTTCACTGCTTGGGAGTGCGGTTTGGGGCATTGGCTGCCCAGACCTTCACTGCCCTCTTTGGTTGCACCTTAACCTTACTTGGGGACGCCTTTAGCTTTGAAACATGTGTTCCCAGCGCTTTAAAGATTGGCTTATATTTTGCCCAGTCGCCACCAGGTTCAGTGCATTTTGTTCTCATCACTGGAGGCCTCAGGCGCTTCCCCAGGTGTCATCTGAGGTAGGGAACCTGCAAAGCACCCATCCATGAAGCTGGGTCAACGTTTGGTACTATCTTGCCCACTTGCGGTTTAGTAGAATCCCCGGATCCCCCAAAATGGAAAACAGGGTCACGCTGGGCGCTGGGCCAGGGAGCCTGTGACCTGCGCAAATCCACCTTGTGACCGTTTGGTTCCCTTCTTTGGCTCATTTTCATGAAGTGCTATCGGGATCCCCGAAAAATTCCGAGAGAGTGCCCGTAGGTACAGCATCACGGAAGGCGCCTTCCAGATGGCAATTGATGAGGCGTGAGGGCTGGCTTGTTTGTTGCTTGGTTGGTTGCTGTTTATTTCTTCTCTCCTTTCCTCCTTCCAGCCTGCGTGCCTGCCTGCCTGTTTGCCTGTTTGACTGCCTGCCTGCCTGCCTGCCTGCCTTCCTTCCTTGCTTCCTTGGTTCGTTTGTTGTAGTTGGTAGGTGTTTGTGTGTGTGTGTGTTTCTAAACCTGTTTGCCACTTGACGGCAGCTTACCCACTTTCGAGAGCGCAAAAGGATGCAACCACTTCGATAAGTCCACAAAGTTGAGCCCTGGCCTGCGTAAGCAAGGGAAATCGATTCCCCTCATGTGGTGGCCGTATTGGTGTACCCCAACACTTTCCCCCTCCACCCTAAATCATCCACGAGGTGGCTTATTCTGGGGCCTACATGTTGCCGTGTGTTGTTTCGCCAGTTCGTCCTGGCAAATGCTCAAGGTGTGTAGTAGTTCTCCTCTTTCTTGCCAGGGATCGGCCTGGCAAGAAAACCATGCGCTTTGAAACTGCTGGTTTGCAAACAAAAACGGAAGAACAACAACACCATAATGGTTAAACAGAATGGGGCATCAACCTGTAGATGCGTGGCTTCAATTCCTTGGACGTCTCACTGGATGCTTCTTAGCGCGGAGTCAAAGCAATTTCGCCCAACCTCTACTCAAACCACTGTAGGCAAATGGGGCATGTGGTCCCCAACATAGCCACAACACGAGGGGTAACCAGTTCCCTTGGTTGGCGGGTGGGGGTGGTGGAAGCCATCATAGAAGCAGGTGTCTACCACAAAGGTAGGGAGTCTTCATTTGGGCATGGCACTTTTTGCACTGCCTAGTATGGGTTTGATTCGAAATTCTGTCATAGATACTTGGCACACCGAATCCCTGTAAAAAAACTTCATTAGGCCAACCAAGTGGCCAACCAGGCCTCGTTCGGGTTGTCTTATCCTCCGATGGTAGGAATATGACAACATGCAATGGCAGGGGAAGCAGCCCCGGTTCTTTCAAATCCTGAAAGCAAAGAAGTTAGGCTCAGGGAAACGCACAGGGCGGGGAGTTGGCGTTGCCACGGCCTGACAGGATTCCAACCTCTACCATGTGCCTGTTGCCTACGGTGCTCGGACTGGCGAGGCCTGGCTTCAGCCCTGTCGCCTCCTGTTTTCCCGTTTTTTAAGGGGGTTCCCACTCCCTCCCTGAACCCCCCCAACAACCTTATTGTTCATCAGGGGCTTGGTTTCCAAAGCACATATTTATGTATAGGCATAGATATCTTGTTTGGGGGCCTCGCCATCGGCCAACGGACTGCTCATAGGGGGATCCCTGTCGGCATTGGTTGGAGGGCAATGCTTTCAGCGGTTCTTGCATGTACCTACATGGCTACCTACCTATATATATATATATATATACATATTTACAGCTCTACCCATCCTACCTATTTTACGCAGATATAGTGCCTCTTACCTGCATACATGCCTGCAGACACAGATTCGCTCAATTATATTCTGTTCCAAATGTCCAAGAACCCTTCACCAAACTTTGAGCATACCCCGCACCCCAAATGAAATAATTTTATCATCATGGGAGGGTTGGGGTATGCTCAAGAGGTATGTTGGAGGGTTCTTGGAACATGATATATATATATATATATCGATAAGAATGATGCATTGTTGCCAGTAGTGTGCATTGTTGCCAGTGGTGTGGCCTAAAGGACTGGAGCAGGCACACCTGGCGCCCGAACAGCCACCTTCACATTTTGAGCTAGGCTACGAAACATACCCTCCCACTCCCACCGATTAACACGGAACCTGACGTTCGGCACCCGGTCCCTGTTATTGGAGGGTAATCTAAGCAGATTCTGTTCTTCCATGGTCAGTTCCTGCAGGTTTTTGGACACTTCTTGTTGTCGACTTTCAAGCCAACAACCGGGGTGTTGGCTTTCTAATGCCTTTTTATGCTGAAATGGCCCGTTTCATCTTTGATATTTGTGGCAATTGGAAGTACCGCTATAATGGTTAGTTTTCCTTTGAGATGGAGACGTGGTAACCCGACCCTTTTTGATATTGACAGGGAAACCGAAAGAAGGCCACCAAGCTTGAGGAAAACCCACCTGCGGCTCCAACGAGTTGAATGATTTGTACCCCAGATGGCCAAGTTACTGTCACCCACAATCATGAACTTCCTCTGGCGGCGAGTTGGCTCAGATGGGTGCGACCATAGGAACGAACACTTTTGGTTGGCCCAAAAGCCTAGCGTGGTCAACTTTTGGTGGCATCTTACATCCTTGCCCCCTAAGATGATGAGAGGAAGCACTAGACCCTAGGTTTGGGGGGTGAACGTTGGACCAAGAAAAGGGCATGAGTAATATTAACCTTATTTTCCAACCTCCCTCTTCTTGATTGCTATTGGATGGGATCCTCAGACTTTCACTTCTTGGGTAATCAGGGGGGGTTTGCATTGAATCCACAAAAAGTTCATGTTGGAGAGGGGTCCACAGCAACCAAGCCTTCAGCACCCTTCAGATGGTTCAAGCCAGCTTGCGCCGTCAGGCTGTGACTGTTTGGGACCTGCACGTGGGCGCGGAGGTGGACATCCTGGGACGAATGACCACCTTGCAGGGCACCCAGGTGCTTCAATTCCCCTCCCTTCCATCAACATAGCACCTGAGGGAGGGTACCTGGAAGAAACAAATCCTCTTGTAGGGATCCCCTGTTAGGTGCCATGTTAGTGAGGGCAACCTTTTTGGGCATGTGTTTTGTTCCCAGCAACCAGCAAGCTACACTTCTTGGGCAGGGGGTGCCTCCAGTCAATATGGGGAGAAAACCCCCCAAAAGGGTGGCCCGCCTTGCGTCCAGCTTCCAGCAGGCGCCAGAAGAGTCTCCAAAAATTCAGTTTCCAATCACCAGCCAGTTGGGGTCATCTCTTTTTCTTCAGCGCTCGGCGCGCCACTAGGCCTTTTTTGGCTCATCTTCTGGATACCCTGAGTTATCAAGCAAGGGCTGTGTGGGAAACACTTTTTGTTGCGAGGCATTTACGGTGAGTCGCCAAGGGAGCCCTCTTTGAAGTGATAAAGTTAGGACCCGAAATGACATCACAGAAAAGGCATTTCCCACCATACCCCTTTTGCAGTTGGTGCGCAATGGGTTCGACCGGTCCTTTTGCTCGCACCCCGATGAAGACTGGCAATTTAGTTGGCGGGTCTTGATTGGTTTATGGGGTTCAAGCATTTTCACTGATTCGAAGTTAAAACGAGCGAACACCCCCATGAAGGTCCATGACTTGGAGATCAAATTCCTAGTTTCAGTTTTTGGACCATGGATAGCGCTCAATGAGCAGTGCCTGAACATGTTCGCCGCATTTGACCGTAGGCAGAGATGCTCGCAAACCACCGCAGAGTGGAACAAGTATTGGGCCAGCCTGGCTTTTTCAGCCTCACAGAGGAAAGAGGGGTTGGGCCCCTCTCTGCTCACTTCTTGAGTTGATGGACTTTATGCTCGTTGGGAAGACCATCTTAGTGGTACACAGAAAGTTTCGCCTTGTTTGCCCATCCACTTGATCGGAAATGAGTCCGTGATACCAAGGGAGTCCCCTTCACAGAAAGGGTGCAGGCATTTGGCTGAGTGCCACTCAAACAGCGTGCGCCTTTCGGGCTTCAAGATCACATCAATCCTCACAGTTTACTTTGTTTTAATATTAGGGAACCCTATTTTCCGCGGTGCTTTGACACCTGCAATGGCTGATCCTACTTTATGACCGCGTTATGCTTAGAAACCACTGCGTGTTCGCCTATGCGTTCCAATTCTCACCTTAGAAGAGCGAAGCGACCAACGGCCTTTTTGTGTTTTGGTTTCTCATGTTTTGCCCACGTCCCAAAAGGCAAGGCAAGGTTTGCAGCTGCCCCTTATGGAGGGGGGGCGGCCAAACCGTGGCAACTTGCCGGAGCCTAGCGCACTTGAACATATTGAAACTCACCTGGCAGCGCGCCGAGAAACTTACTTGAAGTCTGCTTGGCACACAAGCCCTTTGCATTTTTTGTCCATGATGTTTGCAGATCATTTCTATTGAGACCTTCCAATGGGTGTAATTGCATGCTGCGAAAATCAACTTCTGGGACAGACTTTGCTCTATGCCTGGTCAGGGATCCTGCAATCCGCCCCGAGGAATGACTCCCAGTCTGTTCAGGTGTTCAGTCATGGGATCATATGGGATCCGTTTTCAGCATGGCCCCAAAAGTAAAGCCCTTTCTTCCTGAGTTCCTTGGACAAAAGGGGCGTAATGCCTTGCTTGATCTGACTGAACCCTGCCAGCGCTGCCAGGCTGGCCGCCTCACAGCGCTGCGCAATCGCTTAGCTGAGGCCCTCGGCGTGATCTCAACATGTGGCCACCTCGCCTGGGTAACATGCACTGGCTATTGGTTGGGCCTTTATTTTGGGAATTTATGTGTTTCCAACTGTACTCCGCAAAGTGTTTGTCGTGAATTTTGCGCAGGGGGTAAAGGCCAAAGTGAAGGTTAGCCAAAGGAAGCTTAGCACTGACTGGCGCAGAGTGGCCACAGAGCCAACTGTAAAACAATGCAGTCTCAGCTGAGCGTGCCGAGCCAAATTCCCAACCCGAGCAAGTGAAGATTTAGCAAGTGACAGTCACATCCATCAAGATCCGCTCGGGTGACGGTTTACAGGTATTTGGGCAGACCCCTTGAGTGCCGGGTTTTTGCTGCTCACCGCGGGGGTACAATAAGCTCACCCATGAAGTCATTTACTTGCAACGTAGCTGCGTATGTTATTATTGTGGCAACCTCACCGGGGGGGGGGCAAATCCCCTTGCGAGCCAGGTGGTGTTTTGATGTATGATGTATCATGTGTATCCTTCATGGCGCTCTGTTTATTGGTGGCTCCCAGCCATGCCCTTAGCTTTTTAGCCTTTTAGTGTTTAGTCATAGTTTCCATTTAACCCGCTAAAAGCTAGACTTTCAGCGGGGAATTAGAAATCGGGCAGCCCAGGTTTATTGGAGGGGATCCCCAAAAAAGCAAGACTGGCTGGCTCGCCGCAGGAGCTGAAAAAGCCGATGCCTCAGCCGGAGTTCGGATCAGCGCGGACAGCATGCCCACTGCCACAAAACCAATGGCGATGTCACCGAGCTCGTGATGTGATTCTTTTTAGTTGGGGATCCCCGAGTTCAGGTTGCGGAGTATATTATAATTTGCAGACCCAGAATTCCCTACATTTTTGGTAGTTTCGACCATCACTTTGAGGTGATGTTTAGGGTGGAATTTTGGCAGCGCCCTTGGAAGCTGGTGACCGCAGGGTTTTGGAAGACTCTCTTTATTGAAAGAGCTTCAGGTCGATGTCGATTTCGATGGTTGCAAATAGCTCGAGGTGTTTCCAATAATCCCCCATTGTTACCTCTTGAGAGAACTCATCACCTGTCCCCTGCAGCTGGCTCAACGTGCCGAAATTCGCGCCTTGACTTGGGCGACGCTCCGACATATTGACCCCTGCCCTAATATTTGTCCCCTCGAAGAAGGGTTTTTGTTTGGAGCACCCTGGTCTGCTTGTGAAATCTAGCGAATACCGCCGGATGCTGCAGACGCGACCCCAGAATTTCTGTTGAAAAGGAGTAATCGTGAGGGTGTGGGTGTTCTTAAAAAGGTTGGTTTGGGGGTGTCTGGATAAAACCAAGAATTAGACGCCCTTAGGTGACTAACCCATCAAACGCCGGAATAAGCCCATCCTACTTTTGTGGGCTACAAAAGTGGTTCATTCCCACTTTTTGTTCGGTCACCACGACATTGATCGACTCGTCAAGTTGTTTTGACTTGGGGCATTGCTTCGAAGCCGAAGGTACGACACCCGCAAGTTTGATCCCTGGCTGACCTGGCAGAAGGCTTGGCACGGTTTGGTTCGGGCGTAGGGAGGAAGCCCATGGAACAAGTTGCCCTTCTAACAACCCATATGCGCCACGGTGAAAAGACCCCTTTACTACACGTTAACAAGGATGGTCATCCACCTGGCAGCAAGGATCCTGAACACCATCAATCATCATGCTAGTGCGCATTTTACGTTCCCATGGTCATGTTCCAGCTGTTTGGAAGGTTGGTGCAATCAGTGCTGAGTTAAGCAATAAACTCGGGTCATAGTAGTAGGCGTTTGTCTTTGGACATTTTTACTCAGCTTACATAGCCAATGATGGTCGAACAATCGCAGCTGATATGCCCAAGCGCACGGATTCGGGGTCAAACCAGCTCGATGTTTGATTGCGGTGCTTGTGGCTCCTTTGCTTGCGGGTCCCTTATTTCAGTTTTTGGGCATGTTGTGAGCACGAGACAATTACAACTGATACAATTGTTGAAGGTCAACCCATGAGCCCAGCGTTTCCTTGAGCAAAGTGACAACCCGTATTGCTCCGGGTGTCCCCGTCCATGGACTGTTGCTTCGCGCAAGTTCCTTTGAGACCGGAAGGCCCGGCCTATCGCCATCGATCTATAGCTTTTTCAGGACGCTCGAATCTTTCGGGCTGACTTAAAGGAAAGGCAAAAGGACATCAATCATTTTGGGGTCCAAATCCTTATTTCGGCACATCGATGGTACGGAATCCGGAAGGAGGCCCTTGCGGCGATTTCTGGCACAGGCGAAGGTGGAGGTGGGTGGCAATGACCTGCGGCTTCTCATGGGGCAGGCCGCAGATCCGGAGATCCGGAGATCCCAGGGCGAGCGGCCGCATGAGACTGTCCAGCTTTCCGGCGGGCACTCCTCCAATTCCGGTCTCTGAGACTTTTTAGGGTAGGAAGGTCTGCATGGCTGGTCTTTCAAATGGAATCTTTGGGAACCAAATTGCTTTGCCACGGAAAACCTACACAAGGTTATATGGATCGATTGCTCAGGGGGCAAGAGCAACCCAGTTTCAAGGGGTCCAAATAAGGTGCCTTACTGGATTCATTAGCTTGTGTTTGCCTTGTGTCTAATAAGGTCTCTAGGTTTTCACCTATAATATGTATTGATGAATATTCATTTCCCAGACCTCAAAGTTGAAAATACGAAATTCGAATTAGCCAAGGCAACACGTCTCCCTCCTTGCAATTCTGTGAAACACACACAATGCTAGAAAAATAGTGGGCCTAAAAAGTGAGGCTTCCTCTCCGAGCTATAGACCCAACAAAAGCGAATCAAAAGGACCTCCCAGTTGTTCAGTGGCACCCTTCAAACCTTTTGTTTTGTGGGGTTTCCACTTGAACTGGCCCTTTCCCAAAAAAAACAATTCCAATGATTTTCTACCGATCAGGTTACTGGTTGTAACTGGCTTTGCCTGACCCAAGAGGTTCCAGTCCTTCTTTTCAGAATTCAGAAGAAAAAGGCATAGCCAAGGGAACCTTGCTTCAAGGTTGGGTTGGACCCTCAACCTTGCTATTGTTCTTTTCTCCCATTCTCCCGCCAATCTGCAAACAGTTAAACTTATTGGGCAGGTATCAAGCCTATTGATTCCCCTTCAAAAAGAATGAGAACAAAAACAGGAGCACGTGGGCATCAGCCGCGGGGATTTCAGACGGAAGAGGCTGATCATGCGATTGGGATTCAGAGGCCAATTTTTTCTGGGCAGGTCGCCGGCCTGAGCGCTCAGCTCAACGAGTACCGGCCCAGGCCCGGCTGGTTCAAGTACCTACGGCTTTTTAGGGGTAAAAAGAAATACCGTACACGTACATCAGGTACTTGGACCAAGGGAACTTTATACAGGTTGGCACCCCCAACCCCAAGTCAGGGAAAGGGCCGTGGCACCTGGAAAATCACCTACAGCTATGGAGGTTGGGGAACTTAGCACGCTAGATTTGGATCGTGCCATGTGGGAGTTTTCACCATGGCTGAGCTGGGAGTTTCTCCAAATGGGATTCGAACACCGTTTCAGATTTTTGAGCAACACCCTGCAAGTAGGGAGGGAGGGAAATTACTCGATTTGCACAGAATGTACCTTTGTCTTATGGTCAAGTGTGATTGGTTTGCTTCAATGTTTTTGGATGCGCTAGAATTTCCAAGTAACCACGCCATACTCAAGTCCAAAGCCATGGTAGAGTCAATTGTAGAGTCAAGTACATTAGAGGATGTCCGTGTTCCCTTTCAAAGTTCTGAGCATCCGGTAGAAATTAGTTTGCAATTGACAGGCAGGGGTCCTTCCCTTTGCCCCCGGTGAGTTGGCAAGCTATTCAATTCAGTTGCTGTTTTGCTTTCTACTCTGCCCTGTTGTTTCAAGAGCAACGGTCTTCAGCGCACCTTACCTTCGTGCAAAAACAGGGAGCGGCGCTGGATTTTGCATTAACATCAGGTGACCGCCAAAATGATTGGTTTCATTTCAAAATACCTCAAGAAGGGTGCCGTAAAGACGACAATTGAACTTCAATTGTGTTTGACTTCCCTTTCAATGTCCCAGTTCCAGACTGCAAGAAATAAGCACAGTTTGTCGCTGCCACACCAAGATTTGGGAAGTGCGAAGTTGTCGGGGAAAGGTTGGTTATCTCACTGACCAGCAGCAAGTGGGGCCCTTGTTTCTATGTCCCTCTTTTCTTTCTCACATCAGATCCATGGCTGTTGCCAGCCATGCTGCTGACCAGCTGGATGCAAAAGTTGTCACTTTTTGCACAGGAAGCAATCGGTTCCCTAGGGCTCCCGACCCATGCAGGCTGGCTGCTCAGCTGAGCGTTCCTCAGGAGAGGGTCCGAGTCACTTCGACCCGGCAGCTTGGTGTCTTTTGGAGTTACGCCGTTAAGGTCGGCCTAAAGGGAAACAATCCGGGGCCTCCCTATTTTGACGCGTGTCGGGTTGGACTTCTCATCCTTGCTTAGCTTCGAAAGCCCAAACAGGCGTTTCCTATGTTGAGACTCATCCATTTGTTGCATCGGGTATTGCATGGCAGGCTACGAGCTGTGCTTTGCTTGGCATGAGTACCAAATCGAGCTGTCGCACGTCATAGCGTCCTATATATGGCAATATATGATGTGTTTTCTTTGGATGCCTACATGGTTTGCAATTTGGTTTAATCTTCAACCTTAATCTTTTTGGGAGAACTGCGCTTTCCCACAAACCAACCAACAGCTAAACTTTTTTGGCACAGGGTGCACTGGGCACCAAGTATACAAGTCAATGGAATCGTCTTGCTGGCGCTCAGCAGGGAATGAGGGAATGACCCTTATAACCTCTCCCTTGTGGTTTTCTTTAAGGGGACCTCTAGGTTCATTCCCACGTTTCCTTCTGACTGAGCACCAGCAAATCATGGGGTAAAGAATCCTGCCCTGCAGGTTCTGGCCACTTGAAGTCGGGGTCTGGTTCGGGCAGGTGTGTCTCACTTGAGGTCTTGGACTTGGGCGGTCTTTGGTGTGACCGAATCACCCCGACCTTTTGGAACCAACCGGCAGGGTGCCATTAAACCTGCAAAAGATCAGACACCTTTTGCACACGAGGCTTGTGCTTTTTGGATGTAGCCTTTGAGGAACCACACTAGGGGTTCCCTAGTCTGGCGCGGTTTGTTGTGGCGCACCCACAGTGAGGACATTGTTTGGGCGCACCCACGGGGAACCCCTGCGCCAGGAGATGCTCATTATCGAGGATCTTCCCCGAAAGCGGCGGCAAGCGCAAGAGAAGGAAGCCGCCGCATCTTTTTGGTGGGCGAGCTTTCACTTAGCTTAATGCATGTTAAGAACATCTGTGTATGTCAGAATAGCGGGCCCCGCAATGATGAGGCTTTGCGTTTTTGGTGTTCCTCTAGGCCAACCTAAAGAGGGGCCCTCAAAAAGAGAGACCGTTAAATTGATTCATTCATGTGACCCCGTTGGCCTTGAGCGCCGTTAGTGAGAGTGAGTGAACCACTGGCAAGACCATTGGGATTGCACAGCTTGCCCCACACTGTAAGGTTCTAATGATGTGGGCAAGAATGAAACATGCTAGTTCTGGGTGCGAAGTTTTCTCTGGAAATCACAAAGAAGACCAAAAGGAGATGGGTACAGTAATTGTTTAAACTACCTAGACTCTATTTAACACGCATGCTAATGTTGGTTGGGCGCGAGGTTGAGGCATGCTGACAGTGTCAGTGTCAGGAGCATAGGCTGCTGGCCTTGCTGCTAACGTCAGCATGGCTCATGACACTTGGCCGACCCAGCCGACACATGTTAAGCAGCAGATCCGTCAGCCTGCAAGCGGGAGAACATACTACACCACACCGAAACACAAGAGACAACACAACGCAGAACACTACAACACACTGACTGCAGAACACTTCACGGCACGACACTGCACAACGCAACACACCACAAACACAATACCCTTGCGACACTTGCAGGCGCCCACCACACAATACGCACACCCACCCACCCACCCACCACCCACCCACCACCCACCCACCCACCCACCCACCTTGACATTGGTTTGATCGCGAAAAAGGTGGTCGAAGGTCATTTGGCCATAAAGCCTTCAAAATCCCCTATGACCGTGTCCGTCCCAAATGACCGTGAAAATCCCACACTCTTGTTTGCCGCAGATATTTGCTGTGCCTCTGTCGGTCGCTTCGAGTCAGAGAAAAAGCTAGAGCGTGCTTGTGTGCGTGGGCGTGTTATGTTATGTGTATGTACGGGCGCGCGTGTTTGTGTCTGCGTGTTTTGTGTTGGCACGTCTACACCAACGCATACTCAGAAAACGCGAACCCTGGGATTCAAAGGGCCTTAAAAAGCAAGGCCTTTATAGAAAGGGCCTTTGTGTATATGGCCTGTGGAATGGGGTTTGGTGGCGGTTCACGAGGTTTCAACATAGCATTGGTGTTGGTGTTTGTCATGGGGACTTTGTATCTTGAAGTTTGTCGCCGTCCAAAGGGCTTCTAGCGGGAGAGAGAGAGAGAGAGAGAGAGAGAGAGAGAGAGAGAGTGAGACAGGCATCAGTTCAACTTAGTTTCATATTGAAGGCTTGGCTAGCTCTGAGCGTGTTTAAATAACTTACTCTTCTTGACTGCGAGCAAAGAAACTAGCTTGCCATTCCATTTACAAGGAATTGCAGCCTTTTCAGCAGTAAGAACGCTAAGGCAACGCAATTGGACATATGTATGATGCGGGGTTTGCTTGAATTCGCTTCCATCCGTGCTGCGAGCGCCATGCAAAGGCTAGTGGTTAGGTTATCGTAGGCGTAGTTTCACGAAGGCAGTGCCTGAAGAGGAGGCGCTGCTTATGTTTAACATGAGCTGCACATTGGTGCTATATCGGGCTGTGAAACCTGCCAGCCTACCCTTACTCCACTCCTGATTTGCTCTTCTGCCCCACAATGCAGTTTTTGATTAATTCATACAAAGCCCGTCGACGCGATTCGAGCGACTGCAACAACCAAACCCACCCGCGCAGGGGCCTGCCTGCCTCCTGTGGTCGGTTGCACTGGTGCTTGCAACTTTCACTGCTTTGGGAAGGGTCAACGGTTCCTCCACTGCTTGCCGGTTGGGCGTTGCTTGCACGCGATGCGTTTGTTTTAGCCGCGTTTGAATTCCATCGCCATTTGCAAAGGTGTCCGTTTTTCAGCTGTGTGCCAGCCTGGGGGATCAAAATGGACAAATAATAACGGTAATAAGCATTTTCCTTCCAGTGAACAGACGTGAATGCACATGAACCATGTTTGGCAAACAACGCAAGGTCCAGCTCCTAGTTTCAACCACAACCTAACCAGCAGGGAGCCAAGCCACAAGTTCACGCCTAAAAACGGCCGTTCACGCCCTAAACAGGCCTTTCACGGTAGTTTCACGCTTGGTTCACGGTGTTTCATGCTTCCCAGCCCCGAAGGTTGCTGCTGGCATGCTTCAACTCACAAGAAGCATGTGCATTAAAAAATGTGTGAGCCCACAAAAATATGGGACGTAAGCAATTCGCAACAAGAATCGGGCTTGATAAGTGTGCCGCTTTGTGTACAGGCAGTGGCCGCAAGTTGAAGGGTCACTAACTGACACACTGACTGCGTGGGCCTTAACATGATACATGATGAATACATGCCACATTCAGTTCTCCTGGCCACAGTCATTTAGGTTGCCAGTCTGCCAGTTTGCTGATTTCAGGTCGTCTTGGGAAGTCAAATGCTGCAAGGAACCTCACAGTCCAATCCACGGACTAAGCTACTACAGTTGTCACGGCACGTGCGTTGCTTTGTGTGAACTGCCTGACGTCATTGCGCCAGTGTGTTTGAAGTGGTGGGCAAGTACGCTTGACACACGTCACCGGCAGTACCAACAAAGTACTATAGTACTAGACTGGTTTTAACTGAATTTGAACACGAGGTTTGCCATGACCGACCTTTCTAGACGCAAAGGGCTGGAATATGTAGTTGTTTAACGTTTGTTTTCTAGGTTGTTGGCTGAGCCGTTCCTATATATATATATATATATGTATTTGCCCAACGTGCTGGCCTGAGGTTGCAAAGCCAATATCCTGCCTGTTTATGCTAACCTTCTTTCACATAGTTGATGCTGTTCCGGACATTCCGACATCGTGCTAATTGTGACTGTCGCCCTGATCTAATTTCAGAAGCTAACATGTGAAGCTTCGCAAATCTTGCAATGGCAAGAACACAACGTTTTGGGTGAAACAAGGCTCACTCAAACATCAAGAGGGCGAGAGACAGAATGATGGGAAAAAGTGTTTCCCAAGAGCGGCTGCTAGAAGTTCCATGCCAAAATAGTACTTACAAAATTGACAATTTGCAAACAAAGGCCTTCACAGGCCTAGAGAGGCCGGGCTGGAAAGGCCTTTGTTTTAAGGGCCTCCGACCGAAAACCGTTTTTGAAGTGTTTCTCACGGATTTTCACGGATTTTCACGGCCTAGTCACGGATTTTCACGGCCTTTTCACGATTTTTCACGCGAAGCGCGTGCCAGCGAGTGTTAATGACACGGCAGCAGCTCATCGCCCCATCGAATTGCCATTGCCAAGGCTTGCAAAGGAAGGCTCGGTCAGCGTGTGTTGGAGGCTGCTCTTCCTGGCAGTTGGGAAAGTAAGGCCACCTGTGTAAAGATACGTGTTTGCAGCTGCCCTCAAAACATGAAAATCGTATATTATACTAAAATATTAACGTCTTAAGATCTTAAAATGCGGAAATCTTAAGAACTTAAACTCTGAAGACCTTACACTATTAAGATACAAAAGTCGGAAAATGTTAGAATCGTATTAAAATGTTCAACTATTAAAACCTGAAAATACTCATATTAAAAGATCTTAAGTGCATAAACCCATAACATATTAAGATATTAAACTCTTGGAACCTTAAAGCATTAAAATCTGTAAATCTTAAGATATTCAAATCTTAGATTATGAAGATCTCAAAATTTTAGAATATTGAAAAATTAAAACCTTAATATCATAAAATCCTAAAATCTTACATTCCTAACATGTTAGAACATTTATACCTTAATATCTGAAAATCCTAAAATCTTACATTCCTAACATCTTAAAACATTCAAACCTTAGAATCTTAAGATCTTAAAATGAGAGCATCTTAAAATCTGAAAACATTAAAGTCCTAAGACCTTAACATTTTACATTTTAGAATCTTAAACTCTTAAACTAGTAACATCTTAAGATCTTAAAATTTGAAAACATGTAATTCTTAAAATCATAAATTCCTAACATATTTACATTTTAAAATCTGAAAACCTCAAAGCCTTAAAATCTGAGAATCTTAAGATCCTAAGATCTTGAAATAGTAGAATCTTAAAATCTGAAAATCGCGGACTCTTAAAATATTTACATCTTACAAGCTTAAGATCTGAAAATCCTAGAATAATCAAATCATAAACCATGTAAATCTTAAAATATTTAAATCCAAAATTCTTAGAATCTGAAAATTTAAAAAGTTGGAAACCTTTAAGTTGCAAGGTCTCTCATGCAAAAGCAAGTTGACATCCTTTTCTGACACTGTTTTACATATTTCAGGTTTGAAGGTTTCAGGAAACTACGATTTTAGGCTTTTAAGATTTTTAAGCTTTTCAGATTTCAGGATTCTATAATTTTAAGATTCCATTATTTTAAGGTCCTGATATATGTATATATATGTATATATATATACACATATATGACGTGTTTAGATTTTAAGATCCCAAAATATTAAAACCTTAAGATCTTAACATCTTAAAGCAGTAGACTATTGAACTAGTCAAATCTTTAGATTTTAATGAACGCATTAGAATCTTGAAACCCTTAAAGCGGAACATCTGAAAATCTCAAAATAGCAGAATCTTAAGAGTCGCTTAAAACCTTGGAATCTTAAGATTTTCATGTGTTAAGAATTATATGATCTTAAGATGTTGAGGGCAGCTGCAAACACGGATCTTTACACAGGTGGCCTTACTTTCACACTGCCAGAAAAACAGCCTTCCAACACACCCTGACTGAGCCTTCCTTTGCAACCGTGGCAATGGAAATTCGATGGGGTGGTGGGCTGCTACCGTGTCATTATTTAACACTCGCTGGCACGCGCTTCGCGTGAAAAATCGTGAAAAGGCCGTGAAAATCCGTGACTAGGCCGTGAAAATCCGTGAAAATCCGTGAAATTCCGTGGAAAAAGACTTGCAAAAATCGGCTATTGTTTTTATAAATATACGCTAGTGTAGATTAGGGGTGTGTTACG